CGTAAGAGAGTCCACGTAGGGGGCTCCACGGGGGTCCACATAAGCAGGGTCCACGTAAGAGAGTCCATGTAGGGGCTCCACGTAGGGGGCTCCACAAAACCAGGGTCCACGTAGCACGCTTAGTGAGTTCACCTAGGTAGGGTCCATGTATGGGGGGTCTAAGCAAGGGGCAGGAGGGTCCATGCAAGGAGGGCCATGATGCCAGGCTGCGCAAAAGGAAAGTTGTTGTGACTATCTACCTACGGAGCTAGGTCCAAGTAAGAGGGTCCACGTAAGTAGGGTCCATGTAAGAGTTTCCACATATGGGGGCGTCACGTATGTAAGCAGGGGCCATGTAAGGAAAGGCATGAAACGAAGGTCGACTGAGGCAAGGTCCACGTAAGAGGGTCCACGCAGTTCTCTTGAGGGCAGCCAAATGCCTCGGCACGCAACCAATACCTGCTTTCTAGTTCACAGCCAAGAGAAGATTCTGTTGAGCTTGACTCTAGTCCGAATTGGTGAAATGATTCAAGAAATGCCTTTCCGCATGTCTTTTCCGCATGTTTTAATGGCTGGGCGGCCCCAGCAGATCCTGCACCTCCAACTAAAATACCTGTTCGGCTATTTTAAAATCCGCATATTTTATTGTAGTAACCGTATGAGTAACGATGCAGTCTGGCCTGAGTCAGGCATGGCCAGACCGGGTTTGGTGAAAGACCAGTGGCCAGCCGTGAATCACTAAAAGTCAATAATAGAAATACAACATGAGCATGAGCAGAAATTGGCACGAAAGACATGTAAGCTACAGGTGGCAAAATATCCAGCTGACGGCATGCCTGCCTGCCTCCACTCTAGGCAGCCGCCCAGTCCACCGCACGGCGCAAGCACGTGCTGGGCCAGCCACACCTGCCATTTGGTCTTCGCGATCTCGGGTTCTTGGCATCCACCGATTTTATCAGATTTAAGCGATGGATTCGTGATGAATACCGGATTTGTGATGGGCCAAAGAGGGCGGACATAGCAAAGGACTTCGAAGGAGCGGGCCATATTCTTTTGAGGGGCACATCTACTGTGCCGAAAGTAGTTCAGTGAGGTTTCCTCCTGGTCCCTGTGTGACACACAGGCTTTGCAGGTGTTGCCGTGTTGCCTGTCAACGCATCGAAGCTGTCAAAGCTTGGGTTTTGGTGGGTGATGAATGGCTTGGTTAGGAACGCATCATTGATTTGGTCTACGAATAGTATTGACACTTTTTGACGGACTTGTTGCAAGTAAGGCAAAGGAGCCCGAGATACTGTGGCAACATGTGGCAACCCTGCACAGTAGAAGTGTTTTACGCACATCGTCCCTGGGTTTCCTCAGTTGAACATTTGAAAATCGAAAAGGAAAAGTGCTATGAGAGTAGTGTAGATAGGTATGTACCATGGTCCTGATCATCCACCTCCTTTAGGTGGGGGTTACTACCATAAAGTTGACCCAGAACCTTTGCACGGACCTGCATGCCAGGATTCTTCGAGATTGCCTTTGCGGCAACGCACGTCCTGTCTTCCTCATGACATTGAATCCCAGTCCCACAGAGAAGGCCCACGGTTGTCGTGCGTTTCACAGCGGGCTGAGATGCAGGCTTTGCATGGCTTTGCCGCTGGAAAGAGTTGAGTAGCAGGATGTGATACCGAATCGTGTCAAAAAATGTGTTTCATGGATCGTCGAGCTCTTCCATATTGGTCCCCCTACTCAAGATACTCAAGCATTCTCAAGCCAGCATGAATCTCAGAAGACCAGGTGAGGCTACGGGGGTTGACACTGATTCTACGTCAACACTGGTGTTCCACTACATCGCTATGTCACCCTCTGTTCACTTATTGATTTGTTCAACATAATCGACGAAAACTGAAGAACACGCCTGATGTTCGCCCCACATCAATCTCACAGATCTTGCGCCAGCTGGCACACGATGTCCGACATGCCAGCTTCTCGTTCGTTCTCGGGTGGCTACAAATCTCACGAGACGCGTCACGCATTACGACCTGGCGAACCCACCAAATCCGTGTGTGTCAAGGCTTGGACAGATTCACATTTCACATGTTACCTTTTTATGGACCATACCTAGCTGGACAGCTCACACCTGTGCCAAGCGGCCTTGGGCAAGGTACACACGATGCATGCCGTGACGTTTGCAACCGCTTTAGGCGGGCGTTCGGCCAGATAGCGCTAGCTGCCGCCATGGATTAATCTCTATGGGTGTGGGTCAAAGTGTACATGTAGGGTACTGCAATTAGGCCATGTGTGCTCCACGCTTTGGGCTTGCTCAAGAGGAACACAAGCCCTGTGGATCCACGTGCTGCTTGACCCACAGCCCTGTGGACGAGTTCGTCCATGGCGCATGTCCGAATCCTTTTGCGAATTCCGGGGGTGTGTTCTTTCGGTGATCCGCCTACAAACCCGATGGCCTCCACCCCCAAAAAAACGAGGACCGACTCCAACCTACTAGCGATGCTTGGGAGTCTTATTGGGTCGAAGTCAAGCCATGTTTGTTTGAAGTTGAGCAGCCCGTTCACAAATGTGAGCTTTGCACACGAGCACGAGATTTGATGATTCTCACTACTCACTACTCACGACACAGCATGGAGAAACCAGACACAAAGGCGTCACCGAGAGGGCATGGTCTTTACGATCTGCAAAGATCAGCTCGAGTGCGGCTGATTGCGGCACGTCCATGTCATGAGCTTTGCTCACCACGCTCAAAAATAGCATAGATGTTGCATGATTTTGAATCATGTAGCCTTGCTGTTCTTGAAACCCATTGAGATTGTGTCAAACCCCCACTTTTGCACTGTCAAGATTCATCACATTAACTGATTGTAGATACCGTCCGCTCGAGTCTGCAAAACAGCTGGCTCGAGTTTCCCGGCGTATGCCAAAAGCTTCATCTGTCATAGACACACCCGGAATGGAGCCACTCCCTAGTGGATTTCAACAGGCGAACACGTCGCGAAAGGACAAAAAACCTGCATGTGACCAGCAACGAAAGCGACTTGGCCGGAGTTTAAGTACACACACCCAACCACGGAGAGCCTCAAATAAAACCTTCTGATCATATTTTGGGGGTTCACCTGGTTACGGTTTCACACAGGTTTGACCCACAACCCGTTCCTGAGCAAGAGCAGCTCCAGGTGCATAACCTTCAGGAAGTGATTTTATGAATCCACATGAAGTTCTTGCCTTCGCCTTTTCAAAGCGTTTGTTCACCACCGTGCTCCCTTGTGAACTTACAAGTGCTTAAACGCATACATTGATGTGTAATCAGTTTTACCTCATGAAGGTACGAACCAGCGAGGCACTGGAGCCATTCCAGACAACAAAAGATGTCGCTGGTGGAGTTTCTTCTCACAGATTTCATAAGGTAAGCCGCTCGACTGGTGAATTCAGCTCAAAACAAACAGCCCGACCTGGGCTGTACTTCGCAGGACAACATGAAGGGGTACATGAGGAATCAATGAACATGTGTTATATTAAATACACCTTCATGGCATTGTCCAGAGCATAGATTGCGGTTTGTTCAATAAAGATGTGAGGATATACCAGAAATGCCTTCCTGGTCTGGTCAATGCCAAACAAAGTCTGGAAGACGCATTCAATGATGTGCTTTTTAAGAAAATACACAAGAAAAGACATACTCAAACAATTGCACGAACCACAAGCAACTCGAGATTTCATTTATGTTCGTTCTACACCCAACTGCCCTGGCTCACCCAGCATCGCCGGTGTTTTTTTCAGGTCCGTCTATTTACCGGTGATTCTACCGCCGTGCCAATGGCGATCGAACACGACGGTGCGGCGGCCACCTCGGATGAAAGTGAAACCGAAGAGGCCGGGCGCGGTGCGGTGGAGTGGTGACGAGAAGCGAAGTGACCGTGACCGTGACCGTGACTCGGTGTCACCAGGTGATGGTCGGTGGTCGTGCGCTGTTTTAAAAACAGCTTATAAAACGATATAAAACGGCCCGTTTTTGGGGAATGTGAACGGCTATGGGTTTTGAGTGGGGAGAGATGGTTCTAGGCGTGTCACTGCTTCGGTGTGGCTTTTTTCTGGCGTTGAAACCTTCAGAAAAGATTGGAAGTCGGTTCCAAAATGGTTTTAGGGTTCAGAGAAGAGGAAGATGTCAGGGGCTGTGAAGACAGTTCTCTGTAAAGGTGTGTCGAAGTAATTGGTCAACGTAGTGGCAAAGGGCGACGGAGACCGAAAAACAATCAGCTCCGGAGCTGTTTGCCTGGAGCAAACCCATGCTCTTCAGGTACAGACTTTAAGTTTGCAAGGCTTTTTTGGATCCAGTCTTTTCTTCAAAGACTGAAGGAGCTCCTTTCGATCTCGAAACGCTCCGTTTCCGGGTTTTTCTCCACCACACTTTCGGTCACACTTGACCTGGTTTTGCGGTGTTCGCATGGGATTGTATGGATTGGTCATTTTCGCGGGCTGGGTTCCAAATCCCCTGGCATGCGGAAGATGGACTGGGATGGGTGTTCCTGATCCACCTAAGTCCAAGTGGATTCACTCCCCATTTGTGACAGGCATGTGGACTGGGAGGACAAATGCTGTTCTTTCAGTATTCAAGTGCTTATTCTGACCCGAGAATAGATAGACGAGCTTTCACTCTAAATGTCTTAGACAGATGGGTTTTTGCAATGTTTCGTTCATCGGGCAACTTCTTCCCATTCGTGGTTAGTCTTCGGCGAAGACTCAATTCTTCGGACTCCTCTCCGGCGTCGATTGAATTCTTCTTCATGTCGTCTTCTTGGTCCACACCCCCATGTTCATCTCCCTTTCGGTTTACAGCTTCGCAGGCTGGTGCATCTTTCTCGCAAGGAGGCCGCAAGCTGTCGGGGAAGAGCCCGAGTCCCCTCTGCACTGATCTGATGATAATAGTCATTACATGTTATTACAGTAGTTCAATTTATCATCTGTTTATACCGGAGTATAAACTGTTTGTATCACATAGCTTGCCAGCTGTGGTACACCAGTCTAAACGGAAAAAAGAAAGAGAGACTCTCTGGTCTTCGCTACCACTGGTCTTTGCTATACCTCTTTGTTGCTGTGGCCGGTGGTTCTTCCACCCTTTTCCACCCACCGCGGCGGTCAGACGACGACGCCATGGCCGGTCACCGGTCGCCAGGCACACAGAGCGGCAGCTCCACGTCGAAGCCCGGAGCCGTGAGCTCCACAGGAGAGCCGCGCGGCCGCTGGGGGTCAGTCACCGCCCGGTCAGAGCGTTATCGACGCAGCGTCAGGGGAAGAAAAAGAAGAAACACCGCTTTTGGGGTTTCAGAGTGTTTTTTGGGAGGTGATGCGTATTGACATGTATCGACTCATCCCATCTCATCCCCCATTCATCCCCATTCTGTTGGAAAGAATGTTCATAACATAGCAGTGGTGAAGTGTATCAGGTAGGGCGATGTTCTGTTGATGTTCCGAATGTGACGTAGGCACGAGTGAGATGACTCACCGCATGGCGGGTTCAGCCTCGACCCGGGTCATGACCTGTGCATGGAGTCCTGCTTGTGTGAAGTCCTCGAGCCAGGGCGAGCATCCATTGCCGCAGAAAGAGGTGGAGGGAAGGCGCCTGGCCTGGGAAAGAATTGACCGACTTGTGTGTTGGAATGGCATTTGGAAGTTGAGAAAAGGGCCTTGAGTTGGAGGTTGGGTTGTGAATTTCTACTGCAGCGTTGCAGGATTTGGGAGCAGATGTTTGGTTCCCTAATGACTCCGTTCTGAGTCCTGAGGTCCAATCAACACTTAGGAAGGCTTCCGTTTGTTTGATGAGAAGGAAATCCGATCTATCCGCTCTCCAAGACATGGCTGTGAGGAACTCAAGGAACCCCTCCCCAGCAAGGAAGGCCCCATGGGAGCTCGGTTGACCTCTCGAACATGGAGGAATCTGGGTCAACCAAGGCACGTTTGCCGGAATGCCATGACCCACAGCCACATGACAGACCGGACCAGTGAATGATTGTTCGGCCGGGACACCATCCTTCCTGCATGTTCATGGAGCCCTTCGTCCCGTGATCTTTATTCTGCTCAAATCCAAACAGTCAGAACAAAGGATGCTGCATATTGGCATATTGGCTGCCCACTCATCAGTGGCAGAGTAAGTCAGAGAGAGAGAGAGTCCACTTGCAGCTTGCCCTCTCAAGTACAATACCTGCTTGAGCTTTTGTTGTGACCTCCAGGTGAAACCGTAGTGTTTCTTCATGCAACTCACTCTATGTTGCTCGTGATGAGCACCGCTTAAAGTGGTCGGGGCAGTAGGAGCAAGGAAAACGTTGCCGAACATCATGTTCACCAGAGAACACCCAGACACTTGCATGTTGCCAGCCTATACAAGGCTGTAGGTTTGCTTAAATGAGCACTTGTCAAACTTGGGACCTGATGCTTGCGTAAAGCCATTCGCCCTCCCCAGAGGGAGCGTGAGTCTCCAATCCTCGAGATTGGACATGCCAATTGGATCCATCGCAGTCTGATCGTTCCTTGTTGTTGTTGTTGTTGTTGTTGTTGTCGTCGTCTTCCTCCTCAGGGGAGGGTTGCGCACAGGCACACAGGTGCATACATTCATTTCTTTATCGTTCCTTGCTGACTTCGCCTGGACTTCCGCCATGCCACTGACTGAGCGGCTACCGCTACGCCTTTCCCGCGTGCAGCTGGCAGTTCCAACGCGAGGGCATCCGTGGGGCGCTACGTTCAGGTGCTGAAATAGAGAAGAATGAATTGTTGAAATCAAAGCGGCTGTGGTGGAATATCGCGCCGATTTCGTTGGAGGCGTTTAAGAGCCCACTTTCTTTTCGATGGGATCTTGAGATTCTCCTAGTTCTTCAAGCAACGTGGACTGTGATCAAAAGAATTTGCGAGCTATGTATATATATATATAGTAATTGATTGTGGATCATGTTGCATGTGTGCAGACTATAGTAGCCTGCAGTGTCATGTAAGAATCCTCTCACATTATATAGACAAAATTAACAGTGGACCAGACTCAGACTGGTGATCCAATATTCAGTATTGATTTCTGGAGGTAGCGCTAGTCATGAAGCGAAAGATAATTGGTGTGCCTTGCAAGCGATGTCCATGTTTCGTCCACCCAAGCTTGCGACGGAAAACCAAACGGCAAATTATCCGTCACTTGCTATTGTTCCGCTGCTTACATCAGTCAAGTAGTTCCTCCCACTGCGCGCGGGTATCCAAAAGAAGGTGGCAAACCAAAACGCATGCGTGCCTGCCTGCCAGTGATGCTAGCTTAGCAAGTTGGCATAGCTTAAGACGTTTGCATCATTTGCCGGCATACCCAAAAAGTCTGCCTACGTTCATCAATCTAATTGATCAATTGCAACAGCATGAGGATGGAGAAATGAACTACACAAGTCCTCCTTGCCAAGAAAGCTTGCCTTTCGATGGCAGCTAGTTGCGAATGGAATGAGTAAAGGGTGTAGAGGGCCTCTAACAAGCATAAATGGACGTCAAGTCTTCTTCAAGAGTGGCAGGGTCACAGGGGGACTTGACAGATTCCACATTGATCCAGCGAAAAACAATCCTCGGTAAAATGGTGCCCGCACCGGGTCAGTGCCAAGCCTTTTGTGGGCCGAAGAAGTTGTTCGAAATGATGCAGAATATGCAACTATTTAACTAATAAGTTGTGCAGGTGATGCTGCCTTAGTGTAGTTGCATCATAAAGACCTTGACAAGTGATTGAAAGGAAAGATAAGGGACCTACGTTGCTGGAAATTTGCCATTGAGCGGAGTAGATGACTGTGGGGACACCGCGATTCCAAACTCTGCCCAAACTGGAGGAGATTTTCTATGATGTTTAAAAAAGGAAATCGTGCCGAACACTTTGTTGTTTGTCAAGAATTCTTTTCATTCCACGTTGCTCCCGCAGCTGGTGACTAAGAGCTGGGTTGTGGCACAAGGGAACAAGAGAAAAAAGGAGACAAGGACAAGGTTTTGCATTCAGCTAGGGCGTTGGACTCTGCTTGGAGAGGTCTGTCTCGTTGCTTCGCATCCCGCAAGCTTGCCAGAAGCGATCTGCTTTTCGGGCCGGGGAGGGCGAGAGCCATGTGTCAAGCAAGCCACGTTCACCTCGTTTCCATGCACGGGGCATGGGGGCATCTGGGAATGTGCGTGTGTGTCAAGTTGGAATACCTTGATGCTTCGACCTTCAGCGTCGGTCTTGCAGTCTTACGCAACATGCGTCGCATTGCGTCGCATTGCGTCGCATTGCGTCGCCACGTGCACGTGGGTTCCCTTGCTGGGCAATACCTTTCAATCTGTGGTGAGATCACGTCGTGTAAATTGCTTTGGAAAAAAGAAAAATCCCAGCTTTCAGTGCCCTTGCAGACCAAATCTGCACGTCACGCGCCGTGCGGTACATCATGGAACGCCCGTTCCAGGCTGACGCGCAAGCACGGAGCGCCCGAAGCACGAAGCTTTCCACCCGCAGTTCTACGTTCAAGTGCCGAGAGGGCGTGAGTATGAGATGATGTTGGTCAAGGAAAAGGTGCACCGACGTTTTAGAGAATTGCAAGGATGCACACCAACACTCTGACAACACGACGAAGAAGGGAACCGCGCTTTTCATCAGCGTGCGTTGTGAAAGGTTTCTTCACCTCCGTTGGCCAAGCCCACCCATGCAGCAAACAGTTTCAGTCCAAATGAAGGTCCTTTGGTGCCCATGGTCGAGAAGGTAGTGACGCGTGCGCCATGGACCCGCACGTGTCCGTTGCGCGAACCCACATGTTCATGTCAGTTCGTCATGGTTGAGCCTCGTTGTCGCATGGTCGTTATGCAGTTATGCGGTGAAGCATGTTCACCGTTCACCTATTATCATGTTCTGTTCAAGAGACTCTCTGGGTCGTGGCAACCTTTCTGGGCGGTGTCAGGTTTTGTCAACATGAAACGTCATATGTTGCGACATGTGTACACATGCATTGAAAGCGAGGGGGAATTGCCATGAATTGACAGGACTGCTCAGCGAAGGGCAGCTTGGAAGAACTTGGAGTCAGCCTCTGATGAATTTCTTGTGGCTTGTAGGGTTAGGGAGTCTGCTTTCCGGCCTTCAAAGGTTGAACATTCTCAAAGTTGCAGGGCCCAGGGCACATCCTTGCAAAGCACAAGGTAACCTGCAAGCAAGCAAGGGATTGGACCTATCTGCAGACCTATTTGAAGGTTGGTTTGTCAGCAAATCTGCAAGCATATGTTTAACAGACCAATTAGGCTGGTAAGATGCGGGAATTCTTCAGGTGGTCGATCAGGAGAATAACAAAAACCCGAACTGGATTCGTTGGACTCCCCACCTGAGGAGCTGCGCCGTCCACTTTCCGCCTCCGGACGCACGCTGCTTCCCCTGGCCGCGGCGTGCCACGCGCGGTTCCGGCGCCTGCGCCGCACCGTGGCGCACGGAACCGGGACGTCGGCGTCGGCGGCGGCGGTGTGGCATGCCGAGCGGCGGAAGGAGATGCTGCGGCGGTATGGCGCGGAGCTGCAAGCGCTCCGAGGGCCAGATGCACGGACCTTGCCGTTGCTGGGAAGAAACGACTGTCAAACTTAAGATGGATGTATACATACAGTATATGAGCATATATTAGCCGCATGGCTGGTGTTCCATCTTCCGATGTTGTAAGTTGTAAGGAATGAGTTTCACAGACCACCGACCCACGTGCTTTGGGTTCCTCCCTGGAGGCCGTTTGCATGGCCGAACTGAGGCTCTTGGCTTTGGCTAACCTAGCACAGCTCTTGTTGGCCATCTTTGCGGGGCAGCAGCTGCAGGAAAGCCAGGAGGCCAGCCAGCTAGGAAAGCCTCCACCCAGGAACCTTCAGCACCACCCAGTGCTGAGTGGCCTGACGGAGTCAAACAAAATTACAAAGAAACGAAGTCTTGGAAGCTACGAAATGTTGGTTGCAGTATGGATCCTCAAGGTCCTCACATGATCTTGTAACATCTTGTAACTTACTGCATGCTCCTTTGAAAAACCTTGCCTCATCAGGAGTTGTTCGATGGCGGTACCCAGTTGTGCGATCGCATGAGGCTTTCGAAGAAGCCAATGTCGAGTGCAGTTGTAGTTGCGGGATGTTGATGGAGGCTCCCAGTTCACATTGCCTTCAAGTGAAAAACTGTCCGTTCCTCAAGAAGAGTCCTGCGAAAGAGTGCAGGGTGCGCCATCCTAGAATCATGATCAGATGTGTCGTCAGAGTGGAACCGAGGGCTTGCGGCCACGTTGCCAAGAACCACGTCCCTCAACCCACGGTTGCCATGAGGTTGTGACCATTTCAGCGGTTGTGCTGCTGGCCGTTGGCGTTGGTGGAACACTGTCCATGCAGCTTGACGGAGTGACACGAGACACAATTTGAGTCGGCTTCGGGTAAAGACGGAGTCCGTGTCTTTTTGCTCACCCGAGGGTGTCACCCCTTTGCAGCTAGCTGCTAGCCCAATGAACGCTTTTCAGCTTATTCAACCTGAGAGTCACGGCCTTCCCATCCGCATGAGCTCCGCATCTCCTTTACTTCGATCGGACGAAAGATCCGACGGACTTGTCTCGACTCCGTCGACTCGAGCCGCCGACATCGACGATGGTGCCCAGGTGGTCCTTCTCGGTGCTGCATGACCTGCTTCATGGCACCTGCGTGCGCACCGATCGCTCCACACGCGAGGCACTCTTGTCACCCGATGCGTGGTAGATGGTCGTGGGGTGGGGAAATGAGACTCCGGGCATGGTGGGTGGGTGGAACATGGGCCACTGAGTCATGACTCAACCAGATTTCATGAACTATATAATATATGCGCAGTCATGTGAGTAATCAATAGTAACTATAGCAATCATATTGGATGGCTGGACAGTATCGGATGGTTTTGTGTTATGGTTATAGACTAACATGCCATAAACCCACAAGGGGAGGATCTCTTCCTGGATGCAGTATGGGCTCAGCCAATTTTGTGGTTGTCCTAACATCTCCTAACTACTTGAGATGTCCTCACTGTCCGTTGCTTTAGAGGAGAAGCATCGTGTGTTTTTGCAAACCCGCCTTGATGTCGAAGAACACCAGGATGGAAGTAGATGGCGGACACCTGACTTAGTGGAACAGATTCTCCTTTACCGGGAATTTCCTTGGCTACCTTCACCCTGGCCGCTGTGATGGTCGACAGCTCAACGATACAGCTGTGGCCCGCTTGTCCCTTGAGCAGAGGGTTTGATTCTTAATATATGGTAAAATATCGTAAAATGCTTATTTGGCAGAATAGCAGGTTGAGAGTTGAGAGCTCAGGATGTTCTTCAGACATGAGTATTGTGTAGAGCTCAGGATGCTATGATGATCATGTATGTACGTAATTACTCATGTTGGAATAACATCCTGCACGACAGGTCACCTGTGGAAAGCGATAATGAATCTATACGGTGTTTGCCTTGCTGTTCCAAGTTTTTCTTGGTGCACCATGTCCTCCATCAACTGTACCATACTACAGTTTCTGCATGTTTCTACCTGGTAAGCTCCCAATCCCTTTGACGTGGGAACTGAGGTTTTGCCTCAGTTTTCCCACCATCTTCGGGTACCATCTCTACCTGCAGAGGTGCGCGGCATTGCGCGGCAGCTGAGTCGAGTCCATGTTTCTTTCATTACAAACAGCTGGCTATGATGACTCTGGAGTCGTTCTTGCGATGTTGATTTTGTTGTGAAGCACGGTGCAGACTGCATACATAACTGGCTGTGAAGCATTGATTCACCCACCTGGCAGGGGGCATCTCTCGCATCACAAGAATCTGGGTCGCGCTTCCATGGGACAGATCTTCGACTCCGATCGCCTGGAATTTGAGGCGAATCCGCTGCGCAGAATTCACTTCTAAGGCTTTGGGATGGTTTGGGGGATTCTGTGTTTTACTTTGTAGAAGTAGAGAAGTAGGATATACTCCAGCTCAAAGAACCTCCAGCTCCACGCACCTCCACTCTCCACAGGATGGTGACGTGCTCTTCGTGGCGCATCGACAACCGCTGCAGGGACGTCCCTTTGAGGTGGACGTGGGCGGCCTTCGCTTCTCTCCATCCATCTCCCATAACGTCATGACCAGGCGAGAGGAGATGCAGGGGCCGAGGAGTCCGAGGAGGGGGAGAAGATGCAGGGGACACGGCTTGAGCTGTTCTCTGAAAAGCTTATGTTCAAAGGTAACAATAAAATGTATTTTCTTTTGAAGGGTCAACACGAAGAGGCAGAGCTCTTCAGGTGGCCTTTGATTGTAAATGACTTGTTGGTGTGATGTTGATGGTGCACCTCATAGTCATCAACATCACCGGAATTACAACCACAGCAATACGGAAGTGTGCTCAGAGCAGAATCACACCACTTCTGTTATTTGGAAGGGAAACAGCTTTCTGGATAAACAGTGCCTTCAATTCAACTCGAAATGGTAAGGAGCCCATGATCATGTTGATGGTGATGGTTGCTCATATCTCCAAGTCGACTCACGTTCCGTTCATGGTCGTGGAGTCCGGAGTGTGTCTGTGTGTGTGTCTGGCTAGCAACAGCTTCCAGCAAGCAACTGCTTCGTTGGGGGCCAAGGCTTTCTTTAACTGCAGATACAGGCGCCTGTGGCCCGGTTACCACCAGATCAGGTTCGGGATTTGTGTCAAGCCACAAATCATTTGAGGGGAAAGTAAAAGACAGTTCCTCCAAAAGAGATGTCAGAATGTCGCGCAGTTGGATCGGAAGTCGACGCGGCCCTGCTCTGGGAAGGCTTTGGGATACGGAGACACCCTCCGACTCCATCAGGGCAGCGAAGAACGCTGTGGCTTGGTAAACCAATCAATGTGATGGGGTGAATACCAAGATATCCCATTATATCCCCATCTAGTTTGACATGTGAACTAGTGGGTGAACTTGGTGCACAATCTACTCGAATCGACGGGAGTGTAGGATTTGGAGAAGCAAAAAAGAGCACATGGAAGTGGCGATGAATGAACTACAGACTTTTTCTCAGGGAAGATGAAAGAGTGAAGGAGACCTGGGTAGAAAATGAGCCAGCAAGAGGAGTAGAGTAGACTTTGACTCTGGGCCCGATTTGAAGCATGAGCTGGCGAAGTGATCTTTTTTTTGCCCAGAAGCAACCCCAGAGATACGCTTGGCTCCTGCTCCTTCAGTTTCTAGTCGTTGGTCATGTTCTGCAAAATCGAGCCTGCCGAGTCAGTTAAACCATTGCCAACAATGCCCCAAGGGAACTACCACAGCACCAAGGACTGACCAAGAGTGAGCAAATGCCATGTTTAGGGGTGCATGTGGCTTCGAACCATTGATCATCATCGATAGTTCCAGGAGAGCAAGTTTCAACGCCTAAGGTCCTAGAATTTACTTGGGCTGTGAGATTCTTGGATGGAAGGAAGATTTGGTTTGATGTAGTTCGCTCACAAGATGAAGCACACTGAGCTTGTCCAGCTGTGAAAGATTGATGAATTCATTCGAGTACTGGCCTCCACACTGGACTGGTCCAACGTGGTTTGTACATGTTCTTACAGACTAGGTGGGACCCACCCAACTTTGGGGAGGCCGCACTGGACTCAATCAACTGGAAAAGGGGGTTTGCCTTTGGATGTCCAAAGTGAAGTCAAAGTCCTTTGTGCTCCCTCTCAGGCCTTGTATTGCTTTTCAATGATCTTCGAGCGGTGTGCGCTTGCTGTTAACGAAGCTCGTACTGGCACATGGCACGATATGGCACGGACGTGTATCAGAATGGAGTTTTGGAGTGGCATTCCTTTCCTTTGGAGGCAAAACGAGAGCTGCACATTCGTTGAGAAAAGCTACATACTGCATAGATCTGCATAGTAATGTAGACTCGATTTCACAATCCATATTGGGGGGTCTGAAGCAAGAGTCTACATTACTTTGCACAGGCGTGTGGCCAGTCAAGGCGATCGATTCAGAGATTTGTAATGACAGCTACAAAGGTATAAGTTCACAGTCTAGCGTAGATCACTTTAGTAGAGAGGGTGCAGTGGTGCTGAGAAAGTGCACCAAACCATGTAAAGCGCCCAAAAAGACACGATAACATACGATAACCTGCATGCACATCCGACAGTCCATTCACACATTCACACAACGTGCAAGCGGATGACGGAAATTCAACCTTTGGTGAATGATTGGTGTGCTTTTTTGCAGTAGAGCCAAGGACAAGATTGTGGCCCTGTTTGGGCGCAACGCAGCTTGTTTGCACCGTGTAGAGATTTGACCTTTCTCTGAGACCCTTGCTCCTCCAAAGGGACTCCATACATTGATGGGCAAATCCGCTTTCCCAAATCATGAGCAAAGACCGTTGTGCCACCACGCAGTACGAATAGTAGACTTGATGCTCTATCATAATATACTCGCCAGTCCAGTGTCTTATGTGTTGCAAAGGTCCATCCGACGCGAAAGGAACGAACTGTACATAAAACTGAAGACACCAGAGAGTGGGATTCTTAAGGGTGGAGATCAAGTGGTGTGCCTTGATGTGAGGATCATTTGATCTCTTGAGTTTCTTTGGTGCCAAGGCCTTTTTCCTGCAAAAACCTGCAGCATTCCATGATTCCTGTGCCACGTACGCGCGGACAGACACTTGATGCAAGCGGCGAGCCGCACCAGGGACACTGAGAGCCATTGGCTCACAGTTGGGTATGCATGAAGTGCTTGGTTTCGAAACCACCCAGCTGAGACAAACAGTGGAACCCAAGCCAATGGTTCACACCCTGCATTTTCTGGTGTGATTTTCCTTCAACCTGAGGGGAGCAGCCGAGGTTCATCAAGCTTTCCATCTTTTCCCTACTCAAAAAGCCGTGCTGACTGTCAGACTGATCAGACTGATCAGACTTCCAAGACTGAGAGTCAGACTGGTCTAGAGTCTAGAGTCTATCCCTTAAGGTTCGGACCACTGAGGCTGCGGTCTCGCATTTGTTGCTTTGGGCCCTGGCAGGCGGAGCGAGTGTTGCGCGGCGCCCTGCGATTCCGCCGCCCTTTTTTTTCGGTGCGGTCGGTGTGCAGGGATGAGCATCCTCGGCAACGACATGCAACGACCATGGAACTGATGGTTACCATATGACCATATGCATGTGTGTTTTAATAAGGGTAGACTATAGACTGATATAGACTGGTCTATTTCCCAAACCTGGGAGGTGTCCCTATTTAACCTGGAGCCCATGACACCATGCAGCGAACGACCCAGGCCATGTATGAAAAAGCCGAAGACGCAGAGTTTCGGAGCACAAGCGGTGAACGCTCCCTGTTCGAATTCGACTTATGGCATCGGAAAACATCGGCGGACCGACCGCCATGGTTTTGAGTCATATCCAACTGGGCATAGACGCCTCAGCCAGCTTCTTTTTTCACTCGCCAGGGCCTGGAGCCTTGATTTATTTGCTCATCGCAGAGGCCACTCCACATCCCAGAACGAACGCCTCCGAGTGAAGAAGAGGACTTGGTTCGTTATTTGGGACAGTGTGCAATCCCACCAGGATTGGTTCAAGAAATCCCCAGTTTCTGGCGGAAGAAATCCCAAGACCTGAACCAGCTCCTGGCTCCGTGGAGCCTCCGGGAGCTCGAATCGTCTGCAAATGGATGCTGATATGCAAATTGGTACGAATGGTTCAATGGATTGCCTAGAAATCTAGCGCTCAGCCGCGACTGCCAGTGAGGTGGCATGGCAGCTGCCCATTCACCCTGCCTGCGGCATGTTCGTGCTGAGCTAAGACATGCCAGAATGAGTGAGATATGTGAGAACATTGGTCACTTGCAAGCAAACGATTCTTTGGAAAGGTGTTTACCAGTGTTGAACGTTCTAGTGACGGAAATGTGTGGGGCAAAGTCTGCACATGTTCGCATCGTCTTTGGGTGTAGGAGAACTATGGAGGCGTCTTACAAGACGTAGTAACTTCCACAAAGCTCAACGAAGACATGTTCAATCATTTTCAAGTTGAAATTGGTGGAAGTTGCTAGCGATTTGGAAAGAAGAGTCCTGCTACCTTGTTTGTTTCTGAGAAATCCCAAGCACCACTCCACCCTTTTTACTTTGAAGTTGACACGTCAGTCATGAGCGCTGATCACAACCCAACCTGAACTTTGGCTCAAGAAACAAGTGCGGCAGCTTTTTTAGCTTTTGGTGTCGCACGCTCAGGTTATGAGGACTCGCCATGTCATCGACGACGATGAGAAGAAGAAGGGCAGCCAGCGAGAAGGCAGCTGTGGAAGCGGCGCCGGTGGTGATCGGTGAAGCGGATCGCCGCTTGGACGCGCTGATAGAAGAAGAGGTGAGGAGGTCGCGATCTGCGGATGCGGGGCCGAGGAGGGCATCTGATACGGGGAGCACTCCTAGGGGTCCACCAACCTCCTTTCGACCACCTGTGACTGGGTCATCGGAGGGCAACCTCAAGGCGCTGGAAGATGGTGGAGAGGTGGGAGCAGCAACGCTGAAGTCAGTGAAGACCAGCGAACCGGTTGGGGCACCTTCAACATCATCAAGTTCGGCGGTTGGGTTGGGGGCACTTCATGATGCGGTCCAACGAACTTATCATGTACTTCAACAAGCACTAGCGGGACAACCTCAAGGTCAGGGTCTACTAGCACCTCTTGGACCTGGCACTGATCCGGGAGCTCGAGGAGGGCTTTTCGGCGATGGCAGTGGCTTGGTGAACCCGAGAGCCTTGGACTATGGGCAGGGGATGGGGCAAACACCGAGTCGATCACCCAACATCAATCCTTTTTGGAGTCCCTTGGTTCAGGAGGCAGCGAGGAGAAATCTGGTGGAGGGAGGTCAACACGGAGGTGAAGGTCTTCTTCCTGGAGGTCATGCAGAAGCACGAACGTGCGGGAGTACTCCGGCGGCTGCTGGGGCAGGTGCTGGACCTATGGCACAGGACTCGGGATCGACGTCACCGGGTCCGGATGATGTGGAAGCCCTGAGAACCAGAATTCTCCGGGAAGCTGAAGGGAACTTCGTCGACTTGGCACTTCCCGTGAACCAACGGATACGACTTCCTACAAGACGGTTTCAAGTGGTCAACACTTGGGAGACCCTGCACCAGATCAACCCCCTGGACTACCTCAAGGGCGGCACCCGATGTCGAGCTCTACAGTGGACCATGGATCTGGGCAGAAGGTGGTGAGAATTGGTGGTGGGGCCTCGACTGCATCGACGACGGAGGCGTTGAGGAACCTTGAACTTCCTGCCTTACCTTCTCCGAATGTTGAGGGAGCTTCAATCTTGTTTGGGGACTGGCTCACTATGAGTTTTCCCCTGATGGCTGACATTTCGCATAGTGCCAAGGCCTGGTGGGAAGAGTCACTCTCCATTGCGCAGGAGCACTATGCACGTTGGTTGACGATGACACCCCTGGAGCGACTGCGCGCGAAACCAGTGGTGGTGGTGGAGCCTGCACTGCAGAGGATTGAACAAAGGGGCATTGCAATGTTGTTGGGGGCATTGCCTGACCAGCTCCGGCGTGATCTTGTCAGTGGGCGGCAGCTCTCGGTGGTCCACATCTTGTACCGCTTGCATGTGGCGTACCAGCCGGGAGGAGGGGCGGAAAAAACACAACTCCTCAAAAGTTTGGTGGAGACAAAGTTTGCCACGGGGACGGCAGACTTGCTGACACAAGTGAGGTTATGGCGACGATGGCTAACCAGAGCGCAGGAACTTCACCTCACACTACCTGAGCGCATGGTTGACAGTGCCACCAAATCAGGAGGTGCTCAGATGGCCTTTCGCATTGCAAACGTGAGGCAGGAATTGCGAGTAGATTATGCACCAACGGTGGAAGCAGTGATGGAGCTGTCTGAGTATGTGCAGGCGGAGGTGGAAGAAGTTTCGCTGACGACACCAATGAAGTCCCAGCAGGCAACCGCCACTACCGGAGCTGCAGGAAGTCAGACCACGACATCTGTGAAGGCTATGGCATCATCCTTCGGGGCCACGGAGTCGGAGGATCGGTCTGCACAAAAGCCGGCCTGCAAGTTTTGGAAGAGTGAGGAAGGGTGCAAGCGTGGCACCAATTGCACCTATGCCCATGACACCGCGGACATGAAGGGTCGCTGCTTCAACTGCGGAGGACTTCATATGAAGAAGGATTGTCCGAAGGGGCCAAGGGAGTGAAGCCGGATGTGAAAAGGGTGGCGAAGGTGAAGACCGCGAAGGACTCCGACAAGCCAGAGACGGGGGAGAAGCCTGTGCCAGAGACGGGTAAGTTCGATGATCTACGTGGAGATGGTGGATCACCGCCGACTGCAAGGGCGGAAGTGGTGTCGGACAAGCCGCAAAGCAAGGATGCTACTGCTGAGCTGTTGACGGAGGCCACATCGCTTCTGAAGGCATTGCGGACTATGAAGATGCTGCGATTGAAGGAGCTGAAGCCACAATGTTCGAATGGTTGTGGAGCATTGGCTCTCTTGGACGGTGGCGCAACAAATGGACTACGCCGAGCCCGTCCACATGAGATGACAAGATTGGTCCCTGTCACGGTGGAGTTGGCATCGGGATCTACGACCTTGTTCCGTGTCAAGGAGCACAACACGTTGCTGACCAAGGACAACGTGGAAGTGATAGTTCCATTGCACCGACTAGTGAAGTTGGGCTACAAGCTACAGTGGACTTCGGCTGGCGTGAAGATCACCCATCCTCAAAGCGGAAGGATTGAGTGCACATTGCGAGGTGGTTGCCCTGTGCTTTCTGAGAAGCAGGCCCTTGCTTTGCTGGACATCATGGAGAAGGAGGACAAGGGGGAACTGATGCTGGACGAGGAGATTCGTAAATGGTGGTCATCAAGATTTCCGGATGTTCCTCAGGAGGTGTGGAACTACATGCGGGGTCAGGACCATTACAATCCGGAAGAGTGTCCGTGGAATCGGCATCAACGACGACGACATGCCCGCGCTCCAGGTGTGATCATTCACTTGTATTCCGGAAGGGATACCAAGACCTGGACAGCAGAAGATTGGAATGGCTATGAGATCCTCAACGTGGACATCGCCTTGGGCACCCAGTATGACATGCATGCAGTGGGAACCTGGGGATACTTGTGCCATCTGGCCAAAACTGGACATGTGGTGGGGTGGTGGGGGGGCCTCCGTGTAGGAGCGTCTCTCGATTGCGGCATCGAGAGCCTGGTCCACGGCCGTTGAGGGGACGAGATGAAAGGCGCTTTGGTTTGGAAGGCTAGTCGACTGTGGAGCAGGACTTGGCCTATGGGGACCTGGCGTTGGTCTTGAAACAGTTTGGACTGTGGCTGACGGCGGAGGAGGCCAGGGTGCGTTTGGGAGAAGGTCCAAGGCATCGGTCAATTTCTCCTGCCTATCTGATGGAGTCTCCGAGGGATCCGATGACCTACATGAAGGAGGAAGCTGTTCAGGAGGACATGCCTAGCTTCTGGAACTTCAGAGAGGTTCAGGACATGATGGAGGTCATGAACGCAAAACTGATCACCCTGGACCAAGGCCCAGTCGGGCACGTCAAGAGAAAACCTACAAGCCTTATGGTGGTCAACATGCCGGACATGGATGAGTTGGATGGCATGACAGGTGATGGAACTGGACAGCAAACGGCAACTACATTGCGAGGACGGCTATGTCAATCACGAGAATGGTCGGCATGGGCACAGGGGCTTGTGGCTGCGATCAAGTTGAGTTTGAAGAGATACCTGGGCAGGTTGCATAGGTCTTCCGATCATGAAGGTGATGGACGACCTGCACTTCATCGCTTGGATATGGAGGCCTGGAAGGAACGTGTGAGGAACCAACATCAGCCCTACAGAAGAGACTGCAGGAGATGTATGGAAATGATGGGCATGGACGCACCCCATCGCAGAACTCGGGGGGATAGGGCGGCCTATTGCCTGTCCTATGACATCGTGGGTCCTATGCCGGAAGGTGAGGATGTGGGATTGGGAACCAGAGCCAAGTATCTTCTGGTTGCAACAGTGGCCATTCCAGGCTGCCAAGAGAAGCTCCTGATGATGGAGGAGCTCGGGAGCTGGATGGAGAAGATGGCGATCCATTGCCCATAGGGGAGGAGGATGAGGATGAGCGTCCGGTTCCTGATGATGATCAGGTGCGAAGGTTGAATGGAGCCTGGGATGACTACATCAAAAGCCTGGGAGAGCCGGTGGGTGTGCAGAATATCACGTTGGTGGAGCCATTGGAAAGCAGGTCACAGATGGATGTCACCAAGGTTGCCACCCGTATGTTCTGTCGGTTCAAGGCGATGGGAGTCCACATGCTCCGGATACACACAGATAGAGAGTGTGCCTTTTTGTCGAGATCTTTCCAAGCCTTCTGCCGGCGGTTTGGACTATATCAAACCATGACGGGCGGAGATGAAGGACCGTCCAATGGGCGGATTGAGTGTGAGGTCAACCAAGTGAAACGACGCCTTCGCCTTCTCATCAAAGAGAGTGGCCTGGAGCAGAAATGGTGGCCGGGGATTGCTCGCTACGTGGGGGAGGAGAGACTTCGACGCCAATGCTCTTGTCTTGGTGTCCCATCCACAGCACTCTTGCCGATCGGGGGGAGAGTCACAGTGAAAACCAAAAGGTGGCACAGAGCAGGCTTTGGACCTTTAACGGCACCTTTTCGAACCATGACTATCATGGGTCCATCTCCTTTCATGTCACAGGGCTATGTCTTGATGGAGGGTGAGCAGATCCAACATGCTAGGGTGGTGGTTCAACAAGATCCAGGAGCAGAACGAGCAGTTTTAGAACTTCAAATGGTTCCAGAGCCTGAAAGGCCACTGCACAGATTGACAGGGAAGCAACCAATGGAACCAATGCTTCCCCAACTTCCGCCTCCAAGGTCATCGCCTGATCCTGGACTTCATCGACTACATGCTACTTCCGGGGGAGAACCAGTCCAGGTCTGGACTGGGGGGGGAGTCCTTCTCTTCTGTATGCAAGGAGTGTGGTCTACAACGTGCGGATGGTGGATCAATGAAGAAGATGGAGGGACGTGAATGCTGCGACTTCTGCGAAACTCCTTTGGAGCGGCTTGAGGAGAAGGCTGTGAATGGCACTGTGGAGTGTGGAGTTGAGGAAGCCTATAACCTGACAAGGTGGATGCATGATGAACACTGGGGCTGGAAACAGCTATGGAGCGATCTTTTGAAGGATGTGGTGGTGGGCGAAGAGGATGGACTACTGCGAGGAGCGCTGATGGACTACCTTGAGAAGAATGTCCTGGCCCTGGAGAATGAACTGACAGAGATCAGGGATTTTGACTTGGGTTATCAAATGGCCAAGATGGCTGAAGGGGTGGTTGGTGAACATCCCGATGGTGAGCAGCAGTCTCCCCTGAGTGTCCATGCCGTCCTACAGACCTACACTGTCCCCCTGGCGCAGGTGAGGAAAGAGCTGAAGGATTGGATTCCGTCACTGGAATATGAGGTGAACTCCTTGGAACGCACCACGAAGGCTGTTCGGCCAGTGTCAGTCCGAGATCTTTGTCATGAGCCGGGCTATGAAGAGATGCTGGTTGTGCCGTCGAAACTGGTGCCGACGGTCAAAGCACCGGATGGAAAGAAAAGATCAAGAATAGTCCTCTGCGGCAACTTGGTGGAGGATACTGCACGACGAGCAGGACACTCTCAGGTTGTGAAGGAGGACAAACAGGTGAATCCCTCCGCAGGAAGATCGTTTGAACTGTATGCCAGCGGGATCGATGGAGGATCGCTGAGGTGTGCATTGAGAAAGGCAGCTTATGAACAGTGGTCGATAGGGATCACTGATGTTTCCTCGGCTTTCTTGCTAGCACCTCGGAAGTCACACCGACTCATGGTCACCAAGCCCCCAGCTATTTTGATTGAAGCTGGACTGATCTCTGCGGACACACGTTGGGTGGTGGAAGCGGCGGTCTATGGTCTGGACAGCTCACCATTGGACTGGCAGGCATACAGGGATGATGTTCTCCGCAGTCTACGGTGGTGGGAGTCAGGTGTGCACTACTGGATCAATGCGACGCCAGAGCCAAATGTGTGGAGGTTGATGACTGCGCGTGGGGCAGAAGGGGACTACGTGAACGTCATGGAGGAGGGTGAAACGTCGGGGTTTGCTCTATCCTACGTGGACGATTTCATTGTCATGGGCCCACAATCAGTGGCGCAGGCCGTTTTGACGAAGCTGGCGTCGACCTGGAGATGCTCTACACCAACGTGGGTGGTCTCGTCGGAGTGGAGGAAGTTTTGTGGAGTGGAAATGAAGTGGAATGGAGCAAACCTCATGATTGGCCAGCCGGACTATGCTCGAGAACTTGCGACCCGGCATCCTGACCTTCCACTGAGGTACTCACCACTTCCCAAGATGATTGAGCTCGAGCCCGAGGAAATCATAGACCCCACGGATGTGAAGCAGTGTCAAACTCTAGTGGGGGAACTCCTGTGGCTGTCGACTAGGACGAGACCTGATCTCAGCTTTGCTGTTGCTTATTTGGGCGCACGGGTCACCAAATCCCCCAAGGGTGCGCTGGAGCTGGCTCGCCATGTTGTTGGATACTTGGCTGCAACCCCAGATCTGGCGCTGGAATATGGACCTTGTTCACCAGAGCTTGATCGAAATGGTCGTAAACAGTCGCTGGCTCGGCTGGACGTACTGACAGATTCCTCATTCGCTCCTGCTGGAGGTTGTGGTCACCAAGGGATCAGGGCTATGTGGGGTGGATGCCTGGTAGCTTGGGAATCGAAGTCTCAAGCCTTTGCTACCTTGAGCACTACAGAGAGTGAGCTTTTGGGCTATATTGACGGGTTCACCTTGGGCGAGAGTGTCGGTGCGGTGGTGAATGTGCTGCACCAGAACATCCTCGAGAAAGACGGAGCGTTTACGCTCAGGGGGGACAACATGTCCGGCCTACAGCTGCTCCAAGCTCCGTCGGGTCCCTGCACTCGTCATTTGAGGTTGAGAAGTCATGTACTTCGTGAACGACTGCAGCACCGTCTCTGGGATGTGGAGCACGTGCCTGGAACGGAGCTATGTGCGGACTTGCTTACGAAGTCCATCACCCAGTCACAATCTTGGCAAGCGTTCAGGAATGCTGTTGGCCTTCGCGACGCAGCTTCGTTGTGTCACTCACAACAACCGGGTGATGGGGATGGTGCGGCTGTGAAGAAGGTTGCATACGCTGCCATGGCTTCGCTGGGCCTGATTGCAGCCATGCCTTACGTTGGAAGCCTTCCACGAATCGCGTGTGTGACTGCATTGGGAGCAATTGCACCTTTCGTAGCTAGCAGTCTGTACAAGACGGCAGAATGCCAGTCTACCAGGAGGCCTAACGCAACCCAGAAAAGAACAGATTCAAGATGGTCAAGGGAAAATGAACCTGACCCAAGTAGGTGGACAGAGAAGTCAAGATGGTCAAGGGAAAATGAACCTGACCCAAGTAGGTGGACAGAGAAGTCAAGATGGTCAAGGGAAAATGAACCTGACCCAACATCGGCCGACGATCGCTCGCTCGACACTTGCCATCTTGGCACCCTGTCGGACACCTCGCACGTGCAGCCATGGCATCCTCGGTTGTGCGCTGTTCGTGCCCCGGGGCCGCATCTGGGACTGGGCACTGACACTCCGTGGCGGCTGGATCGATTTGCAACTCCTCCCACTGGTAATGACCGGTGGGAGTGCCTTGGCAGTGGAGACGGAGCCGGCGAATGGTGGGTTCGTGTGCTGAAGAAAAGCAGGGTGAGAGCCTTCCACCCCCTACATAGGGGGACGCCCTTTATGATTGAGAGAATGGCCTCGACGAGGGTGACAGTGGCCTTCCATCGAAACAGCACTCGAGAAGCCTGGAAGCGGAAGGAGATCATGGACGACTGGATCAACTCCCGCAACACCGACTTGGCTGATGTCTACGAATGGAGGGGCTACAGTTTTTTCTATGTGAGATTCCCTCCGAGGGCGAATGAAGGACATGTGGGCTCTGCATCTTTTAACCCACTTCCACCTCCTGGCTCGGTGACTCAAAGTCTGCATGGCTATGGAGAAGACCATCCGTCGAGGTCTCGGGCAGTAGAAAGGGGAAGAGCGGCGCTGGCGGAAGCAGAGCGTCCCTCCTATGCTGCTGTGGAGGCATCTGCTGAGAGCGCTGCGGGGCATGCGAATGAGGAGAGCCAGGGCTATCGAGCCCGATTGCAGGGCTATGAGGCTAGGGGCGAGACAGGCACCATCGAGGGCGGCTGGGCTCGGGCGCTGGCTGGTGAGGGGTTGATCCAAGAGGATCCATCCCAGATGCCTGTTTGGCTAGGCATAGGAACTGCTGTGCATGGAGAGAGTAGGGAGTCACCCGATACAGACAGCTCCCACTCGCGCGGCAGCTTCGAGAAGATATGATGTCGAAGACATCAGGGGGAGTGAGAAATCCCAAGCACCACTCCACCCTTTTTACTTTGAAGTTGACACGTCAGTCATGAGCGCTGATCACAACCCAACCTGAACTTTGGCTCAAGAAACAAGTGCGGCAGCTTTTATAGCTTTTGGTGTCGCACGCTCAGTTTCATTTTGAGGCCCCAGGTTTTGATCAGCCAGGAAAGGTCGGCTCCTGCGCATGTCCAGTCAGTTTTCCCCAACGACAGGGTGTTTGTTGTTCGTTGCCCTTTTCTCCCGTGCAGCGCAGGTGTCCAATCACGGCAGTGGGAAGCGAGTAGATGGGCAATGTGCTCCAAGCGCATCTCTCTACGTGGGTGATCCTTGGGGCTGGTTCGATTGGGTCGGGAAACCCAGGCGAAGGAGCAGCCGGTTAGTTTGTGTGTCACATGTAGCTGTTGTGCGACCCGTGCCAGGCGGGTGGTGGCATGCACGTGGCGTCAAGGGCATAGTTGCAATCAAAGAGGCTCCCTTTGAGCAAAGGAGAGGGAAAATAGATGATCCCCGCAGCCCCATGGTTGAGATTAGGACCTTTGGTTTCACACTACCTTTGGTGTAGCAAGCTACAATTTCTCAAGCGAGCACTTCAAAGCGAAGACATTGGACGACCACAGTGGTCGTCCTCCGCCGCAATCGTCGAGCGTCCGCGCAGTAGTCGCATCGCGTCCGATGTGCGATGTGCAGCGGTCTCAGGTGTGCCTCTTCGCCAACTACCATGTTGAACACCACGCCACTTTGTTGCAAGCCATGGCACAGAAGCTAGGCTGCGCCTTGGCGCCAGAACGCCAGGTCAGCTCTAGGCCGTCGTTGTCCACGCAGTTGGAAACCTTTGGTGTTTGATCAGGAACTCTTGCCTTGTTGCAAGGTCCCAATCTTTTTGTATGGTCCAAACCACGCAATTTCTGCAACACAAAGCATTGAAATGCCTCCTGCATGGGTTGTTCTCAAAATACCTGATGGAACCCCCTTGCCCGTCCTTGCTCACCTATGGTCCTTTCATGTCCTTTCTAATTCTATGACTGGCCAGCAAGAGCATGTCCTTAGCGTACCCAAGCTGCAGTAGATTATATAAGTAGACTGCATCAGAACAGCCCAGTAGATCGATCGAGAGTGCTCTCGTCTCCGGAGAAGGGGCCGTCCCTGCCACGTCCCGAACCGCACGCGCCAAACCGGTCTGACCCGTTTGCCACGGCGGATGGGTCACGGATAGGTCCTTCACCCATTGGACTCGGTCTTAGTAGCCTTCTTGCTCCTAGTAGATCTAGTAGCAAGGCCAGGAGCCCCGTTCGTAGCATCCTTGCTCCGTTCCTAGCGATGCCCTTTGCTCCTAGTACTGTAGCGTTCTTGTTCCTAGCTGGAGCGGTGCTTCAAGTTGCTTCCACCAAAACTTGCGAGGACTTTCCGGATATCCCGCTCTTGAAGCTGCCGGAACTTCGTCGGATCGCGCCCGAGTTCTATGGCTGCTCTTCAAGGTGGGGGAGGTGTTTTCGATCAAGTCTTGCGCGCCGCTTCTCTCTGTGTGTTCCAATCGGGTTGATGCAGAAACCTGGCCATGCGGCGCCATGCGCCTCAAGAAGCTAAGAGCCTGACTCGGATTGCTCACACATCACTACAAGTCCTGAGCGTTATCCAGATCAGCAGCAGGACCATAATTGTGCCGACATTAATGCATTGGTGCATCCGCGTACCCAAAGTTGTTGATTGGCTCAAGAAAGACCCAATGACATGATGTAGTGGTAGCTCCAAATGGTTCTCCATTGTATATCCCGAGAATGAAGCACCTTGCACGCAGTGTTAAGAACCTTTTCAGCCGTGTATCAATGTTCGATTGAACTATCTCTCACATGACCTGAGCAGTCGTGAGTCGGCTGCTCAACCAAGCCCCATTACCCATGCTTGTCCTACCTGTGCTGTCAAACACCACGGCAGACCGTTTCGTGGTCACCTCTCGCCATGGCACCATCTCCCACGTCCCCCTCGGAGCTCCGCGGAGCGCCTCATGAGTTTTAACACCTGGCGACATAGCCGACGTCGCTCCGGGTCCACCTGCTCCAGTGGAAGCACAAGTAGTCTCAGTTCTGGAGCTTCCCTGCATGAGACAGTGCCACCTGCTCGCTGGTGCGTCACGCGCTTGGACTTGAAGGTCTTGCGACAGGAAGTCTTGCGATCCATTCAAGAAGGTGGGGCTCCAGCTGAGGTTTAGCTGTCCTAGTCGTTCTTTTCCCAGGATTGTTGGAAAGAGTTGTTTATTCAAGTTTCTTGTCCGATCCAGGTGAGTATAGTGTATCGCAACTGTAACACCCAGTTGGGAATGTGTTGTATCTTCTTTTCCAGAGTGTTTCAACTATATAGTTTCAACCACCTGGGAGAGGTGACATACAGGTTCCAGCCGATGGAAGCGATGACTTCGATCCTTCCGATGAGACCTTTGGGCCTTCCATCTATACGGTGAACGAGCAATACATCAAGCCGGTGACCAGCCGAGCAACCCGGTGAACTTGTTTCCAGCCCTTTGTTTTCAGGCCGACAGATGATGCTTTTCCGATCTTGGGGTTGAATCCCCTGAAGTTTAGTGGAAGGTTCTTAAAATGTCTGAAATATACTGTAGTGTGTTTAGATGTTGCAAATCCAAGGCGGGGATGATGAGTTGGGCTTTGATGCGGAACCCACGTGGCTTGGACTGTGATATATTCATCAGCCATGCCTGGCAGGAGGGCATCTTCGAGTTTTTGGCCAAGGTGAGACACTCGTGGTCGCAACACCTGCGTCATGCCTGGTGTTGCATGTTGGCGAATCCACAGAACTTGAACATCGAAGCCTTGTTGGAATCACCCAGATCGAGTCCCTTCGCACTGGCGCTCAGGGCCTCGAAACTGGTCTTGGTAGTGCCGAACCGGCACCAAAGCGTTTACACCAGGCTTTGGTGTGCCTATGAGGCCTACTTGGCGCAAGAAGAGGGAAAGCCCATTTTGATTGCCAAGACTTCGAAGAAGAAGCACATGCTTCTGGCCTTTGCATGGCTTTTGCTTGCGGCTGTGCTGGGACTGAGTATAGGCATTCTTGCAAAAGCCATGAAGTGGCAGCTGAGCTATGAAGTAGCATGGGCTGCTTGCGCTTCTGGCGTGGTGGCTCTGAGTATTCAGAACAACAGACCTCGGTTTTTCCTGCACCTTCTCTTCGAGTCCCTGTGCTTCTTTGAACTGATCAACTGGAAAGCCATGAGACGCAGTGTTTCGTACTTGCCAATGCTTCCAGAAGAGTATCATGTCATCAAGGGCATGCTTTTTTGGGTCATGGCAGCCACCATGCCCTTCCTCATGGAAGTCGATCGCATCAACGCGATCTTCATTACCTTGGAAGCTCAACAGCTTCAGCAGAAGTACCGAGGATCCATCCGCTTCGCCGAGTGCTCGCAACGCACGGACGCACAGAACATCGGCCAGGAGATCGGGGACCGGACTCATGCGGTGGACTTTGCCATCCAGGTGAGTATGTTTTTTTTGGAATTCAAGTGCTCGTTTGGTTTTGGGGCGAACTTGGAGGTCAAAACCGGAGCGTCTGATGTCAAAACTTGCACATTATACAGTAGTTGGGTGTTTTACAATTTCCATGTACTTTGCAAGGAGGTTTGGAACACCGCTCAGGTGTTGCTCAAAGCGGGCATGTCCAGCCCTGCTATACGAGACATCGCTCAAGCAGGGGTGGATATCGAGCATGCGGCCTATGCGAAGATCGCCTCGACGGTGATACTATTGGGTCCGTTAGACCTGTTGAGCGTGGCGCATATCGCCATCGATTTGTCCTTTCTTGTAGGCTGCTGGTGGCTGCCCATTCTGCACACAATCTCCTTCATGTTGAAGATGATCTTGCTGGTGGTCTTGTGCAAGAGCCCACCGGATGAGCGCCGCTTTGTGCTGAAGGTCGCAGGCAAGTGCTTAGCACTTGTGGGGCTGGTGCTGGTGAGTATGTGTATCTATGCTTGGAGCTCGTGGACCACTCAGCCGACCTTCGCTTGGGTTCCTCAGCCGATCGATTTCGGTCCGTTTTGGTTCGATTTTGGGGGACATCTACGTAAAGAGAATATTGGGGAATATCCATCCCAAATACAAAGCAACAATCAAATACAAAGCTTGAACTGCCTTGGACTGCTTTGGGGATTCGGCTGACCAGCCGAAAGATGGGTTGAGTCATCTTCAATGCTTTTGGAAGTGGACAACTGCTAACTTGCAGCGTGGAAAAAAAACAATTGCTTTCAAGACCGATACCCAAGAGGTTCAGCTACTAAGTATGAGCCGTGGTGCCTTTTAGAAAGAGCCGCAAATCTCGCAGACAAACATCACACAGGATCATCCCAAAGGGAAACAATGCATGACGAGCTGTTCTGAATTGTCCATCTTTGCCTTCATCTTCTCACATTATCTGATTACAACCATTAATCCGACCCAACATTTTTGAGCAAGTTGGTTCATGAACCAAGTCTGGAACAAACAGCGTTGAGCCACAGCTGATGTGCGAAAGCTGATGCAGCAAACTAAAGCACAAGAAAACAAAGACCTGGCTCCATTTGGTCAAGGATCTGGTTACCATGACTGACTCTAAAAGCAAATCATCACCACTGGCTGAGAATAGGATCCAAGGTCATCCAAGGTCCATGTAGCAACAAAAACACACATGCATATATGTATAATATATATATAAACTATATAAGCACTCATTAATAAACTATACTATTTCGATGGTCCAATCCAAGGTGCCTTGGTTGATCATGACCAATGTGATTCTTTTCCTCTTGGTGATCTTCTCTTTGTTGGGCATCAAAGGAACTGCCAGGCTGCCTTTTGGACACTGTTTGGTGCAGTTCTTCTTCGCTCGTGGCATCAAAGCAGTCACTGCTTGCTGTAATCGAAAAAGACCTCAGCTTCCTGAGAGTGATAATGACAGTGAAACAGACACTGGCGGCACTGGCTCATGAGTGTCGACCAGTGGCACCCCCCACAGGTCCGTCCATCAAGCAATGCACCGTTGGTTCACCTCTTCGGGAGGGAGGAAAGCGCAGCGCTTGGGAGGGTGGGTCCTACAAGGGGGGGCCACCAACGCATCGCCCACCAGAAAGTGTCAGGTGGGAGACGATAGAGTTCGGAACTTGTGCCAATGTATAGGAGACCTGAGCATGCAATGGCATGCAGGTCAAAGAGCTTTGTATGCAAATGCAGGTCTAGCGTTTCTGAATGTTTCAAGCTCCTTATTTGCTGCCAATTCTTGTGACGCCAAGAATCTATTTTAGAGGCAAGAGGCAAGACTTTGGGAACCGGCCCACACAATGTGGGACCGTGATGAATAAGAAAAGGTGCTTCAGACAACACTGTCATTGCAGCATTCAGAAAGGTACTGTATCTCTTTTGTTACCGTCGATACATGTCAGGTAGGCACGGAGAATGGGGTTTTTGACAAGCTGATCGTTGGAAGCAATGTAGTCAAATGTCCATCAGAAAGAGAGCGGAGCTGGAAGAAGTCCCCCAAACACTGGGCTGGTTATTTGCTTAGTGTTCTTGAAGATGTAACTAATTAATCTAGTCAACCCTTCCCTCTGCTGATTGTCAGTGCTCATTGTCATCGAACGGGTTGAACCACCAACCCTGACACATTTTTGGCGGCCTTGCCGCAGGCTGACGCAGCAGCCATTATCTCAGATTGGAGGATGGATGGCAGAGATATATAAAATTAAGTTGTTTCTTGAGTTGCTGGAAGAATGACTCATTGATTTACAAATAAATGTGGTATCATGTTGATGGAGTGTAGGCACCAGTGCTAGGCAGAAAAACATAGTTTGTTTATTGCTTGATACAATGCCTCTAACATGCGCAAAACATGGGCTTTAGCGAACATGTTGGCAATGCTGATGTCAAAATCAAAAAGGTTTCCAACTCACAAGCTGGCTGTTTCTCCATAGGACAAAATGCACCACCATTCGTGGCGGAAAGCCGGTAGTGATTTGGGATGGTGCTCAATGCCTGGACATTTCCAAAGGCTTCCAGAACCACGACGTGCTTTGTTCATCCCCCTTTCCACGAGCCCGCACGTCCCAAAGCCCAAAGCCTTAGGGTTTGTGGTGGCATCTGTCCACAAGAACTCGTGTTTTTGGTGGAGGTTCAAATTCATGTTGACCATCCCTCATTTGAGTTGGTCTCCCCCAAAGGTAATGTGTAGTCTGAGCGGTGGAGGTGATGCCCACCGGTTCTATCAGCCAAACAGCAGCCCAGGCCGCCAGCCTCTTTAGCACTCATGGAGGCCAACACGAATTGGTCTCGCACCGTCTTTCGCAGCTTTGCGTCGCCGGAGCCATATGCCCGGAGTCCCGGCGGAGTCCCGGCTCGGCGACACCGGTGGTGGATAGATGATGAGACGAGACTGGACGATAGGACCGACGGATTGTGGTTGAGACGTGCAGAGTTTGAGGCGCACAACGCCCATTGTGCTTAGCTCTGGGGCACAGGACTGGGCACAGCTCGACGAACGCAGGTTTGCCTCTCAAAATATATGAAAACCATGAGGGTTGAGGATGTGACAGCCGATCCAGCGGTCTAGATTCAGAGTCTACTCCTGATTTGCACCACTTTCACAGTCGGCCAGATCTTGGGGGGACCATACTGGTACCATTCCGGAATCCGGAATGAGGTAGGAGGCAACTCACTGAATCTGAAGTGAGGCTTTTTTATGACAATGTTTGTTAGAGTATCCCGTTCAGGTCAGTTTGAGCAAAGATTTGTGGAATTCGAAGATCAACACCTGAATCTGCATGTGTCCTAGGCCTGTTCTGTGGTCACTGGCGTGGACAATGAGCCCCTGGGTTTGCAAGGAACTACTATGAATTAAGCTGTTAATACAAGAAGACAAGCTAACAGAAGCATTGTTAATAGTGGGACGATCAATCAGATGTTCTTCCTTCCAACACCCAAGATACCAGACTCCGTGGTGCATGCTTTGGGCTTTGATTTGTGGATGTGCGATGCGCTTTGCTTCGCGAGAGAAGCCAGATCATTTCAGCTGGGACTAGCCATTTGACTAGACACCAAACTCAGGTCGAAAGGTGTTTCTTTAGGAAAAAGAGGAGAGGTGCCAAGATCGCGTGGTAATTACTGAGGTATGGCGGGGAGGAGGAGGTGGCCATTGCCTGAAGGATGAATGATGACGAATGGCTGGCCGTTGCACAAGTCTTGTGTGAATCAGATGAATTTCATAGAATGTTGTCAAACAGTTTGCTGTAACTGTTCGGAAGCATCAACACGCAAGGGAGTTAAGCTGGATGGTCAGCTGGAATTCTTTAAGCCCCAGAAATTGCAGAGTTTGCTCTCCTGCAATTCTGGGGTGGAGTAGAAAAGATCTGCTCAAACGCATGCCTTGGTTTTAGTGATTATGCTGTGTAAGGCAAGAGCCATGGCAATCCCATTCAACCGCTCCAGCACAATTTGATCTAGAGCTTTAAGTCGCTCATGCTACCAGACCCGATGTCCATGGAAAAAGGGTCTGACTGCAAGCGCTTTGTCTATTCTTTTTCAAGATGGCAACTCGAGTTGTTGACTCAAACTTCCCAAATCTGTGAGGCTTCATCACATGTTGAAAAAAGAACCGGGCGGTACCGCCCCCATCTGACGTCCCTCCCGCCCGGGCCCCGCCCCACCCCGCCAGGCGCGTGCGTGGTTCAGCGCCTATGGACCCCGCTGCCGCTGTTCCGGCAGCACGACCACGGCCGTTGCGAGCGGTGCCACGAGTGCGAGCACAGGCGGCGAGTGCGATGCGACACGTGGGAGCACCGTGGGACGCATGGATGATGCGCCTCAAAAAGAAGGGTGAACGAATCGGTTGGAACACAACAACGGTCCATGGAAAGGTGCATGTGGATGTTTTCTCCCGCGTGTTCGAGAATCTTGGCGTCCCACAGCACCCTCGATGAGCCGTTTTGGAAGTTAGGCAATCTTTGCAATAGGAAGAAGAACGCTCACCTCCAGATGCTTAGTTCCCCCCACCACACCAGCTGTGCAGTGAAAAAGCTCAATGTTTGCATGCTGGGAGCTAGGCCACCACTCCAGATGATGAAACCAATCAGTTTCCTCCCAAAAACAAGGACAAACCAACCGCAAACTGCACCAATACATACCAGCGAGAATCCATACCAGATCCAGTTGAGGCTCCATGCACCACCTCTGGCGTTTGCAGTTCGCTCTCCATAGGGCCAGTGGCGTACGTCGGGCCGCAGGGGCCGCAGGGGGCCGCAGGGCCAGGTCCGCTCCGCTCAGGCAAATCAGGGCCAAGCTCGCCACTGGAGGAGTGCAGAGACGCACCACTCGACCTGGTCAAACACGGATCAACACGATCTGTTCAGCTACTGAACGTCATGCGAGAGCTCCATCCGGTGGTTCTGTATGTTTGGAAAAGGCCGTTTTGACTCTAAATGATGGACTCTAAGGTCTAAGTATGGTCTCCATTAGTCCCCCGGTCACCCTGGCTGCCCACCGGGTGACTGGCTCCTCGCAAGGAAGGAGATCCCCTGCGTGGCTTCGAACTGAGTTTTTTGTCTTGGCCCTAGCTGTGGTGTCTGGTGGTGTCACGTGTTTGTCGCTTGAAATCCAGGCCACTCGTGTTTGACAAAGAACCATGCCGAAATGATAAGTAATTGGAGATGTTGATTGAGTGTCGTTCGTCCTGTGGCCGTCCTTCCTCCGCAAATCCGCCGGGTTCTTAGTCGACGTTCGTTTTCCTTTGCACTCCACTTCGCTCGTCTCGCCTGATTGTTCTGCCGCCTGCCTGGTTACTCACCAAGGTCATTGAGTGGTGTGGACGACACCGTCTCACCAAGAACCCTTTGTGACATTTCCCAAGAGTTCGCCTTCGTTGAGCCGCTTGGCAGTATAGGTGAGTGAGTGGATCGCAGGGCTTCGCAACAGGTGTCTAAGTTGCGATGTTCGTGTGGGGGCAGATCATGCTTGGGTATCTCGAAGTTGTGCATGAAAAGGGAGAAACCCGCTAGCAGCTAGAATGTGCTAAAATCATCTAAAATCTAAACTTCAGCTGCCATTCTGAGGATTTGCGAGCAGGCAGAACAAACATTCTGCAAGCTCCCATTTCGCAGCTCACAAGAAACATCGAACCCCCAAAAAAAGAAACACGCGCACACACATTGGAAGGTCTTCTTAGCCTCATGATTCGTTTCGGACATTCGCAGTGGGGACGTCGTTCTGCTTCTTTCACCCGGAGACGGCCACAGGTGGGGTGTGAACTTCCGAGCGGAAAAGCAAGGTCGAGAGCCGCGATATGTTGCTGGGCTGCATCGTTCGAAGAGAATCCTGCAAGACTGCCCCAATGGATCGGCGCATGGACCTCGGGTACATTGACATGATGAGTTCTTCAGCGGAGCAGCGGAGTGGTCAAGTTGGTGGTCAAGTTGTTGGAGAAGATCTTGCTTTTTCTCGGGATGCATAGATTTTGAATCGTGGAACGGCACAGGTAAGTCAAGTAGCCTCTTGCCAGCCAATAGACGTATATCGCGCCATAGCAAATGACAGCATACCGCCAAGCGGCAAGAGAGGCACAAAGAGGGCCCAAGGCTCTCGAGCCGTGCGTGGCCTGACTCACAAAGTCATCGTTTAGAAAATAACCGAAATCATTGAAATCACTGGAAATGGTTTTTGGGTGTCACTCCAGGGACCCAATACCCAAATCGGTTTCCCTTTGGCCCTTTGGTCACTCCAGGGACTTTGGCCCTCTAGTGGACGGAAGACCTGAGGCTTCGCTGACCTGGCTCCGCATGTTGCAGGAAGAGTGTGGTGGCCCAACTGTCCTCGTCTTCCGGACTTCTTGGCACCACCAACGAGTTGAATGTGTGATGTGATGGGAGAAAAAGCAGGAAAAACGATGCGGAAAACCTTGACTTGGGATGGTTGGACGCTCCTACTAGGTTGGACATCGGTTTTAAGGTGGGTTTGTACTGCACCGAGGGGAGATCAGACAGTGAACTCAGGTTCATTTGATGTGAACGAAAAGGCCGTTGGTTGGCCAATCTAAGTTGGTCCTTGGGGAGAACCAACATTTTGAGCAGTGATCAACCAATCAAACGATCCATCAATCAGCAATCAAACGACCCAATGAAAGCTGCCACTCACGCAGGTGGTTAGTCGGCAGGTCGGTCCAGACCTAAGGATTGACAGACGGCAGCAGACTGGCAAGTTTGCGCCCATCCACTTCGCTGCACATTTGGGAGGCCCGAAGGGGGGGAGGCCCGAAGGGTTCACGGAGGCCCGAAGGTTTTGCCCTGAGAAACCAGAAAACCACCTTGTTTAAAAGGTACCAATCATGATTCCCCTGCGAGTCACAGCTGGCCCTGAATTCACGGCATGTTGCCGGAATGTTGCAAGAAATCCATGACTTTGGGGGAATTCATAGATCTGGAGGTGCCTAGAACCATCCTGTCTGGACAGAAACATGACTTATGGGTGCTTGTTGACGAAGCTGCCTGTCGGCCTATCTGTGGAGAGCTTACAACAGTGAGAACATGTCGACAACTTAGAAAGCATAGGTCCCCAGGCTAAGCCTAGTGGTATCCCCATGTCCATCATTTGTGCCAGAGGCAGGATGCGCAGAATGCCATCAAAGTGATGAAAGTGTGATTCCCGTACTACAGACTTTTCTGGGCTACTTTTGCTGAGTCATTCCTCCCAGATCCTCAGGGGGAGACCCGCGCTCTTCCCGTTTTCCGAACGTCCATGTCGAACGGTCCGTTTTCCGTGCGGCCCATCGACGTCCCAAAACGCGTGGCGAGACCGGAAGCTGCGGATGGACAAACGAACTCGTGGAGTCTCCGAGGCGAATATTGTGTGGATGTGCTGAAGGGTGACGCCTCATTGGTGCGAACTCTTTGGGAGGTGGAACGAGCTCGTTTGCTCGAAGTCGCAGCTTTATATGGAGCAGGGACTGACTTAGCACAGGGCCAAGCAAGAGTGGCTTGATTAGGCAGAGTCCAGACTACAGATTTGAGTGTCTTAGAAGCTTCAAAGAATTCGCTAACTGTTGTTTGGGTTTGGATGTCTTGTTTACGAAGACGAACTGTTTGACCTACACCAGTGGCAAAGACGTACGGGAAAGAGACTCGATATACTCTAGACATCTCTAGTATTAGTTCCAGATCTTGTGGCGCAGACGGTTTGGCTGCCAGGACTATGGCTTTTTGCGCGTGTACCTTTGTCCAACACGTGCCAATGGAGTCAATAGCTCTCAGCTGCTGGAGCACCCAGCGAAGCGAAACACCTCGTCTCGCACGATCCCCGCCGGCCTCGCGGTGGACCCAGCTCAGCCGGGCTCGACGGCGCCGCGGTGACCAGCGTGGCGTGTCCGTCGTCCCGTGTTTGGTTGGTGTTGATTTGGAAGCAGTTCGGGTTGAAAAAACTGCGGCTGCCCTTGATGTTCTGGAGATGCAAGTCTTTTTGGGATGCACGAAAGGTTAATGATGGTTGGTATATAATTGTTTAGTAGTACGCTGAGATTGAATATTAGGACGGTCAATATCAGATTGATATACCAGATCAGAATATCTCATCGTTGTTGAACGGATAGGGCATGTCATCATCAAGCAACAATTTGTCCTTCAAACTCAAGGTCCCCCACAATCGTCCCTTTGCTCCACGATGAAAGCCCCTTGGCACAAGCGCCAGGCCTTCTAGCACAGAGCCTTCTGAAACCAGCTTTCAATACCTTTCACCCTTTCAGTGTTGCTGCTGGCACAAGAATTCTTCAAGAAAATGCACCGCACCCACAAATCAATTTCACCAATCCTTTCCCTCTCAACGTCTCAGGAAGAAGCACTTGCCCACCTTGAAGAACGTCATTGTGGCCTTACCCCAGGCGAGACGGACCCAACGACTGGGCCGACCTCGTCTCTGGGTTCGTCATCGTCACGTGAGACGAGACGAGACGACCAGACGACCGACCTGCTCATCGTTCTGGCAGCGGAGTTTGAGGGGGGAGGAAGAAAGCGAAGTAGTACGTCCTGGTGGGAGACCCAGATCCACATTGGAACGTGAAGTCTACTTCACGGTTTTTGGGTATGAGGAACTGAGGAACATCCAGTTTGCTCCATGCCGTTCGCCCGGTTCCATGTGGGTACTCGGAACCCGGACGCAAAAGGATCTTGCCAGCTGTAGGAGTTGAGGGACGAGTGGGAAATACGGAAAATGGTTCCTTCCGTACTGAACGAAGAATCCCCATGAAGTCGATGCCTCGATGTTTGCATGTAGCCAACCAATGTCATACAGAGCGGGTCCGACCGCGGTCACCCAGTATATGCTCAGTCTCGCTCTTTCCGGGCTCCCTCCACGACATGGGTCAGATCTGTGGCCAATGGCCAGGTGGAGTTTGTCTTGCTGGTGACAAAGGCCGGGTCAGCGTGCTATGGGTTGGAAGTTACATATGTATACATATGTATATACATAGATACCATGGCTCTTTGTCTCCAAATGAGAAAACCCACCAAAGTGGAAAGGCACCCGATCCACTGGTTGAATATCAGACTCACAAGACCTTGGTGCATGCAGGGGGGTGCGTGCACGTGTTCTTTCACTCGAATCCCTTTCGAGCTTCTTCAAGCTAATCTGTTGCAAACTATCACCATCTCTCACCGGCAGGAGACCAGAGCATTGACCTTCAACTTAATGAAGCTCGGCAGAAACGAGAGCCGAAGGCAGAACCTACCAGAGGCATGTCCTCAACCTTTGAAGGACGTGTGCCGTGTCTTCTTCGTCTTGGATGATGTGCAAACCAGCTGCCAGATTGGCACATATCACTTGCTCATGTCTTGGGGAAGTACGGCCAAGTGAGTTGGAAACCCCAGATCGCTTCCCAAGAAAACACACAGAAGGACGGGCGCCCTGCAGCGCATTGCGCGCGTTGCCTTGCGCTTGGCGCGCCAACCGCTCGGATCGTTTCATCGCTCCGTCCTCGATCGAGGAACGAAGTGCAGCCCAACCTGGCCTTCTTCTACTTCTCCGAGGCCCAACGGTCACGTGGATGTTTTTTAAGAGGGGAGGTTTGTCTCGCGTTGTTTGCCCGGTTTTCTTGGCGTGAAGCGATAAGCTCTATTGCCCGAAGCTGCCAGGGTCTTCCTATATCTACAACCCCCATTCTGTAACAACCTGTAACTCTAAGACTCTAAGAGGGTGTTCATTGGTGTTCATTGGATTTTTCACGAGATGAGCGAGGATCCATGCGAGGAGGTCATCGTTTACTCAGTTTACTCTCCCCCGCTGTCGTTTTCTTGCGCGATAGAAGCCATTGAGTGAGGAAGCATTGATGCAAAGTCTTTCCAGTTGAAGGAAAAGTTAAAGAGTCCTTGCCATCTTTGCCGAACTGATGTTGTTTGAGTCCCAGAGTCACGGGATATTGGACAGGTATCTCACTTGAGACCTTGGATCCTGTTGCATGTAGTCTCTTAAAATGCCACAGAAGAGATGAAAGGAGTGGTCTTGTGTAGGTGGGACAGCGATATGATGATATAATTATATATATGTATATTCGTTATACTATGTTATAATCAATATATATATATATATTATGTTATAATCAATATATATGTTAAAGATTATATATAATCAATATATATATACCTTTTACATCATTTTCCTCGATTCTTTTTTACTGATCACTCCGATCACTCCACGAATCCGACACTGCCCGCCTCGTCCACCGAGCCGAGCCGAGACGGCCGCAGGAGGCGGAGAACGGTGCAACGGCGACCCCCGAGGCGTCGAACCCGCGCGGTGCGGAGCACCCAGACGGATCGGAAGGGATGGAGAGGGTCCGGTGGGGGGGGAGCTGGTGTCACCAAGGTAACAAGCTCCAATGACCAGTAGAAAGCAAGGGATTTCGTGCTAGTGGTTCTGGAAAAGACATGTGGAATCCTCTTGGAAAGGAAGAAGGACGATCTTGCACAAATCGGTAGTAGACAAATCAGCCAAAGATGGTGGCGTCCTGCTGATGCCTTGAGCTGTAAGCGTTGTATTTGTTATATCTGAGCTGTCGCTGTTGTGAGCTTGTGTAACCGAGAATCGACGGGGGAATAGAGAGGGAACAGACCTGATAGGTGAGCTCAATTGGAGGATCACCAACCCTACCAAAGACTTTGCAGGTGGATGGAATCTAGTGATAGAATCTATGCCGAATCTAACCATAATTGACCAGCTGCTTCCGAAGTCACCCCTGGAGGCCAGCACTTCACTTCCAATTAATTGATATCGATTATCATGGCCACCAACAGGAAGCACATGATCCATACATGATCCAGACGAGACTCAGCTGCTTCTTCTGGGCTCAGGTGCGAAGGATGCCCCGAAAGATGCCCCGAAGAGTCGCCGGCCACCGTGAAGCTGGCGATTTTGGACACAAACAGCGAGCGATGGGGTTTGTGCGCGGGAGAAACCACGAGCCAGAAAAGACGAGTCGTTTGTGATATCGAAACCATTTTCAACAACTCAAACGGTTTTCTGGATACTTTATGATACTTTCGAGTGCAGCTGCAGACTTCCTCGACTATTTCTGGCCGACAGGATCCATAATGTTGCGGTAAGCAGGCTAGCTCAAACAAGCTGGATGGCGCCAGATGATGGTATGATATGGTATAGCAACATGGCATTTGCGGACCAGCATCCTGGTGCACCAAATGAATCTCCCAAGAGGTTGGATGATCATCGAATCATCGAGAGTTGGGGCGTGTTGTTGTCGTGATACCAGGCCCTGTCCTCATCCGGGCATCCACTGTGGGTATGGCGGCGGTCTCACCAGCAGCTTGTCTCAAATGTGGTTTTGTGTTTGCCAGTGAAAATCACTGAAGCGCGCCTTTGTCATGTTTTGGCTTCCTGGCTTGTTCTGCATGTTGACCCATGAAGAGGTACAAGCCCTGAGAGAGTTCAACAAGTTGCGGGCCAAACATTCAGACTCCATTTGTAAGAGATTCTGCTGGTCCAGCATCCATGGGTGATATGAGACGATGGATGGCGCCATGGACTTCAGTTTATAAGGATGTGTTCCAAACGTGCACTTTAGAAGTAGTTGTGTCGTCAAACTCTCTTTGCATCCAACACATACTTGATCTCAATATGCACTGCTTGGTTGTTTTTCATCCAGTGCATCCCCTCTGAAAGAGAGGCTTTTCTGAAAAGAATACAAAACAGCAGCCGAGGTGAGAATTTGACGGCGGAGCTCCGGCACATCGCCAAGGCCACGCCCAACCGCACTGCCCGGAACGCCCAATACGGGAGCATGGGCACGGAGCGTGGCGAACGGCTCGAGCATGCACAGTTGGAGCATGGCGTGGGGAGGGGTGAGCAGAGGATGAAGATGGATGAAGGGCTAGGACCTTAGGCCTTAGAGCTAACCCTCGAGAAGAGCTCATGAGTTCCAAAATCGTTCGATCGGATTGACCCATCAAAGGACGTGGAACTTCCCTGGAACTCATATGTCATGCTTGAGGAACCAATCCTCCTTGGGAGCGAGTGCAACGGGGGGAGGAAGGCGGGTCACCTGTAGTCATTTGATCTCGCGCTGCGCAGGAGAGTTTGAGATTTGGTTGCGGAAGAAGTCAGGTGAAAATACAGCAGTTGCAGCACCACATGGCCCCCCCTCACTTTCCAGAGCAAGGTTTTATTGAATGTTTATTCATGTTTATTCTTGAGGACACCGCACCAACCATCTTTCCCGGGCACGACACGGAAGAACAAGACATGTATCGCTGCGATTCGAGGCTGAAAGCTGGTCACGGTGGGTCATACTCGGCTGATCGGCTGAGGTTTGGGTCGACCTGGAATCCGGCGAAGACCCTAGACCTTCGTCGATTCGCAGACTCAACTTGGGAAGAAAGGCCATGCATGGAAAGATGATCGCCGATCATATCCAGCAGTCTGGACGGGCTTAGTTTGGCCAGCTCGATCACTTGGCCAATGCGGAATGTACCCGAAAGGCAGATGGGCAAAGCGTTTGCAGCTACAGCTCTACATTACACCACCGTAGACCCCAAACAGTTTGTGTTTTTCAAAATCGAAACTAGAGCTTGCGACGTCCAGAGCTGGGAGATAAATGTAAAGGATTGCAAGGCAGAGACGGACACAGCAGTACAGAGCGGGCGGACACATCTTAAGAAAGAAGTGAGAAGCCCTAACAGTAAACCTTTTGGGGAATTATTCTTCAAGCGCGAACATGATGCTGGTCATGGTGCTCAGTCAGCGGGGAGCTGACCACGTGAGGACAAGAAACAAAAGCATGAGGAGCGAAGGATGTGACATGAAATTGATTTTTGGTGCCTGACATGTGCCCTCCGCCCCAACTGAATAGAGAGATCGCTGCCACGCTGCCGAAATCCAATCCGGTCATTCATCCAACGGTTGCCCGAGAAGGAAAACAAAGCTGAGAGAGCTACACAGTGTGGCAGGAATGCAATCCCGGAGTCAGTCACGCACCCCTTGCAAAGGAGCAAGAACCTTTCACAGGCGAACCTGTTCCAGCGGACAGGGCAGAAAACAGCAGTGCAGGCACCAAACCTGAAAGACAAAAAGAAAGAAATCACATGGGAGACAAATGAATAGAAATGCTACATGGCCAGCGGAAAAGGGCGGCAGCACCAGTGACAGACCCGGGAAACAAATTAATAGAAATGCTGCGTGCCCAGCGGAAAAGGGCGGGACACCAGCAGTGACAGACCTGGAAAACAAATGAATAGAAATGTTGTATCGCCAGCGGAAAAGGGCGGATACCAACAGTGACAGACCTGGGAGACTAATGAATAGAAATGCTGCATGGCCGACGAAAAGGGCGGACACCAGCAGTGACAGACTTGGGAAACAAAACACTAGCAGTGACAGACCTGGGAGACAAATGAATAGAAATGCTACATGGCCAACGGAAAAGGGCGGACACCAACAGTGACAGAGCTGGGAGACAAATGAATAGAAACAGCGGAAAATGGCGGACACCACCAGTGACAAGCCTGGGGGACAAATGAATAGAAATGCTGCATGGCCAGCGGAAAAGGGCGGAAATTAGCAATGACAAAGACAAATGAATAGAAATGCTACATGGCACCAGCAATGACGGATCTGGGAGACATATGAATAGAAATGCTTCATCCTGGGAGACAAATGAAAAGAACCGGGAGACAAATGAAAGCAAGTGGGAGACAAGCCGGCCGGGAACCCGACCACAAGCACCCAGCCTGGGAGACAAATGAAAAGAAGTGGGTGACAAATGAAAAGAAGTGGGAAACAAATAAGAGGAAGTAGGAGACAAGCCGGCCGGGAACCCGACCACAAGTGGGAGACAAATGAAAGGAAGTGGGAGACAAGCTGGCCGGGAACCCGACCACAAGCACCCAGCCTGGGAGACAATGAAAAGAAGTGGGAGACAAATGAAAGGAAGTGGCCTGGGAGACAAATGAAAAGAATTGGGAGGCAAATGAAAGGAAGTGGGAGACAAGCCAGCCGGGAACCCCGACTGAAAAGAACTGGGAGACAAAGGAAGTGGGAGACAAGCCGGCCGGGAACCCGACCAGACCATCCAGCACCAAGGCGACCATTCTTTAAAGCATTGAGAACCCCTAACAGTAAATTGTTTGGGGAAAAAAGCTGTTCAGGGTGAAACAAAAATGTCAAAGGATGTCAAAGGAACCTACAGGTGACAATGGATGATATATGAGGATATGATATGGATGATGAAGTCAAAGCATTTATACAAGAACATTTCATTTATCTTGATAGGAACACGTAGGAGCATGATTTGGTCGCTGAAATAGCCAGACAGAACTGTCTAGTCGCGAGTCATCAGTGTTGCTTCACACAGGGAGAAAGCCAAGGGGTGTTCCTCAAGTCATCAGTGCAAGACCCGCTGCTTTCAGCGGGACGAAATGGGACGAAGGATTTCAGGGTGACAGAACTCCAGCGAAGATCTTTTGGATCTCCGTCGCCGCAATGCTGAAAACTAAGAGATACTAAGTCATACTGAGAGTAAAAAGACACCTTCAGACTTCATCTTTAAACCTCTAAGACTGCGTGTCACCAGTTGACCTCCGAAACCCCTCCAACGCGCTTGGAGACCCTGATCTCGTCGGCCAAGTGTTTGGTTGATTAATAATAGAGGGAATACCACCCAAAAAATACAGGTATTTATGACATGTATATACTCGTATGGTACCAAATCGATATATATATATTATATGATACGTACGAATTACCTAGAGCCTGAGTGATCAGACATGACCTCTGTGTTGGAGGAAGAACTCTCCAGAATTAATACGGCCTGAAACAAGTCAAACGACTCTCAGTCATGCGAGTCATGCCTATTTCTTGCATTTTCTCGCGGGCAAAGCCTACCTAGCGGTTTCCTTTGACCAGGTGACCCTGCTTTTCGTCCAAAAACCGAAAACGGACGGGTTCCCCGCGTCGTCCTCTCCCGTCCTCCAAGGCCTTCGCTCCAGAGGCGCTGGTCGCCCCGATGAGTTCGACCTCGGCAAGGCGCGGTGCAGTTCGGCGCGGAGGAAGGGGGCACTGGGGCACTGGGCGATGGAACGGCGTTCGTGTTTTGTGATGGCCCCCAAGAAGGAAGAAGAAGAAGAAGAAGAAGCATCATCAAAGAAGAGTCCAAGCAAAAGAAGAGTCCAAGCCTTTTCGGGGCTTTTCGGCTCCAATCCGATCCGAAAGGTCTTCGGCGTACGTCGTTTGGAGAGTCGGAGACTGTGAGGCATGGGCCTGCATTCGAGCCGTCCGCCTGGCAGAGTTAGGACCCGGACGTCCGGGTCCATCTGGGTCCAGGTCCTGGATAGAGAGGTGTTTCGGGAAGGAAAAGACTCTGAAGAGGAGGTTCACTGGGTTCGAAGTTGCTGGAGCAGTTGCTGGAGCAGTTGCTGCAGAGGTTGAACTGACCGAGTGAGGTGAGTTGCAAACCCTCAGGACTCAGGGCTAAGCGGCTAACCCTCAGGACATAGGGACTTTCATTGCAGAGACCGAAACACACCTTTTGTCTCCTGTTGTTTGGAGTTTCTGTGAGCTGCATGCCGATCCGCTTCTGAGTTTCTCAGGTCTTGGCTTTTTGTGCAGGGGGATGTGGAAATCAACAATGGTAGGTGGCCACCACGTTTGGCTCGCTTTCGGTAGAGTAGATTCATTGCATTGTAACTGTCCATCAGTTTTCTGGGATGCTGCACGACCTGAGCCTTCTGAACGCCCTACATGTGGCTAATTACAGGTGCTGTTTTTGGCCAGCGTGCTTTTAGTGGCAAGCAATTAGTAAACCATGTATACCGACGAGATATTCCGATATATATATATATATATATGTACATAGATGTGTGATTCTTTGTGATGATAATAAATAATATCATTATATATATATATATATGTAAGAACTTAAGAGCCGTCACAACCGTCCCCATGTGTGTTTCCGTGCAAAAACCATCACGACCGTCCTCGAAGACGCTCATCCGAAGATGGCCGGACGGTGGTCCATCCAGCTGGGACGGTGGTGCATCCAGTCCCAAAAGAACAAGAGATCCGGAACCGGAACTGAAAGGAAACCAGGCTAAAACCTTCCTTGAACCATCCCTTAAGCCTTAAGCACCATCTCAATCCCTAAAACCTTCATGAAGCAACACATGTTGCTTGACGACCAATGTCGCCAGGTCTACGACTTGGATCTTCCACGACCGCGGCCGACCTTTGCTTCGCGCTAGCCGCGAACGGCCCCGGTGGTCGGTGGGATGTGGATTGTCGAAGAAGCTTGGGAGTTGTACCATCTCTCTATTCTCTCATATTCTCTCTATTCACTGATTGTTCGGTTTTGTTCAGTTTTGTTACCATCAGTTTTCCCACTGGAAGACGGTTTTGATATGTGTTATGTCACCTTTTTTGAAGTGCGTCTCAAGCTGGTGGTCCTAGGACATCCCCAAACCAAAAACCCAAGGGCATGCCATCATGTCCTCCTCTACACTAGTTGGTTTGCCTGTTTATAAGATAAACAGTGGCAATCCAACTAGAAGAAAGGTGAACCTGTGGATAGAATATGTTCAAAGAGAAAGAACTGGATCTATATATATATACATATGCTTGAGAGCTCTTTTAATTATAAGTTTAAGATGGCAACAATTGAGCTAGCGGATTGCTCACTTGCATTGGATGTTTCCTCGGACAGACCATGTCCTGCTGCGATTGCTGCGCTGAATGATCGCTGTCGTCGGTAGAAGGTCGTCCATTCAACGGCCAAGACACAGTCAGCAAAGGAAGGGATTGCACCCAGTTGCACAAGCATTTTTTGGATGGAAACACAGGAAAATACATGATGACGACGAAACATCCCAAAGTCACAAAGCATCATAGCTTGGTCGGTGTTTTTCCAGCACCATTGCTGGGTGGCCGGTGCTGGTATCCCTTTGAGTCAAGGCATGCCGAATTGGTCCTGTTGCCACGGTAACAGATGATAACAGTTTTCGGTCAAGGCATTGACGGTCCTCATCAACAGTGAATTTGACCAATCCAAGTCATATCAATATGACTGATGGACTTCTTCGTTCGCGTTTCAGCCTTGGCATGTTCAGGGATGGAAGATCTTGCGAAGCCATGTGGCCCATGGCATTCCATAGCCGCTGAGTCATCACCGCGCCAGTGCCGAGATTCGTACGGCCACGTACCCAACATGCGTCCAAATGCAAATCCTCCAAAAGAATCCAGCATAATCCAGCTTGTTGATCACCTCGTCCTTGGAGCCAACTGGCATTTAAATTTGTGTGATATACCTGGTTTTGGTGCATATTTGCATGTATGTTGCGTTGGGTTGAGTGAGTTCTGTGGGTGTTGGCACGGACTATCTTGGTTCCAAACACGAAGAAGGCGACACCTGGTGCGACCTCAAACGAAAAACCTGCGCTCAGCCAGCACTTAGAGCTGGCAAGTCCCGAACACAGGGTGAGACAGAAGGAGCGGGCTGATCTTCTTGTGGTTTGTCCAGCCAAAATGTAAAAAAAAAAGCTAAAAGGAAACTCTCAAATGGATTGGATTGCTTCCTATACTTCTTGCCATTGTGTTGAGAAACCACTGGATCATGGTTTCTGAAAGCAAGATCCAGTGTTGCCATCGTTGTGATCCCAGCAACCCACCCTGTGAGTCGCTTGACGGGCCAAGAAGACTCTGACTCACGTTGATTTGAACGGAGAACCGCAGGAAAAAGGTAGGGAAGGAAGCACTCGAACAGAGTCATGATTGAAAGCTGCAGTGACTTGAGATCCATAGATGGCATTTGAGGAATGTTTATACAGTATAGATAATCGATTTGTAAGGTCGAACTGTGGATCCGTACAGCAGATCCGTAATAAAAGAGCCTTTCTACCTCATCCGCGAGAGTTTGTTCAATTCTTCGGCTTGAATGGACATAGTATAGTCTATAATTTTGTGTGTGTGCGTTTGCTTTGGTGTTTGTTTTTGAGGAAGTTAGAGGCAGGAGAAGCTACGTTGCATTTTGCCAACTTGCCGACGCCATCTGAGATCCTGACGACAGGTATATACTATAGTATATACCATTTGCAGATGTACAATGTGGCCTTGATGATTTAGCAATCCATGTGGCCTTGATGTTCCCTCCAGAGACTATTTGGTGCTTTCAAACCATCAAAATACTTCAAAATACTTCAAACTAAAACCTTAGGCTTTATTGGCATTTGAGCCCGATACATCCTAATACAATACTACTCAAACGAAGGCACATATTCAAGCCTAAAATTAGGAGGATCCGCTCCGCTCCTGTCTTTGACGGCTTGGTCGAACCACCTGCAGTTTCTGGAACGAGGCCTCATGTGCGGGAACAGAGTATTTGCCGCAAATGATGATGATCAGCTATGATCAGCTGAAAACACAGGTTTTTCTGAAAATGGACGCAGCCGATTTCGGGAGGGAAAACAGCATCTCTCCGCGCACAAAAACGGATGCCAGGCAGCATGTTGCGGGCAGCGGTCGTCGCACTCCTCCTGCCAGGCTCGTCAAGACAGGCCGATGTTCTCTAGAAAGATAGTCAAGACCTGACAGTCTAGTGAAAATTCCTCATCATGCTGAAAAGGTCTACTACTAGCTTGTCTTGGGTGATGCAGGAAAAATCAATCACTGGATGTAACGTAAAATATCCACCGCGCAAACTACGTACTCTATCAGACTTGTTCTAAGAATGATCACACGCATCCAGATCCATATCAAGCTTCACCACCACCTGTTCCTTGAAAGGAACCCTGTTCTTTGCTAGACATGTTTCTTTACTAGGCTTGCTAGCAGAAGGTGGCGTGGAGCAGGCCAGGGCCAGCCGTTGTTTTCGGGTCTGTGTGCGATTGAAGAATGAAGACCGAAGGTTGATTATTTTTCCAGATAGAATCTAGATGTCAATGTTCAATGGGTAAAGGAATGTCAATGATGTAAGAAGGCAATAAGGCCTGTCAACGTATAGCTTTGCCTGTCATCCTTGAACAACGCTTGTTATATACTTGCAGATGTTTGTTCTGGTTGTGGCTCAGAACTGGATGAGACAGTTAAGAGAGGCTCTTTCATTGTCTAATGCTGGAACCACATACAGGGAGCTCGCCTTCAATACTGGGATCCATGTTTTCGCCACCTAACCTCGTCTGCGGTGACATCCATTCAGCTCACATTCAATACACCCATGGCCCTCAAGCTTCTGGAACTCAACTTTCCTTTCAGTTAATTGGGGCATGACAAGGCGAGCGTCCTTCCTGACTGAGGCACAAATCGCTTCTTCTCATCCGGAATTTCTAGACTCCACTCCCCAAAACTCTCACTTCTCCAACTTCCCACAGAACCTGCCCAATTCGGACAGCTTTCAATCCCTAAAACCTCTCCGTCACATGCTCCCCCCCCCGCTTCTTCACCTCTACACCACAAAAAAAAGCATCTCCCACCAACCAAAAAGACCTCCCGTTGCCCTTCCCTTTCGCCGTGCGACCGGACCGGGACCCGTCACTCACACCGTCACCGACCGTCACCGCACGCGTCGTCGTTCAGGACTACGAGGTGGGCGGCGTTCCGCCGGAGGATCCCAACCTCGGTGCCCTGGAGGCGGCCAAGGACGACGTCCGGGACACCCGGTCCTCCATCCGGGAAAGGGGTCGAGATGGTTTTAGAAGGAGCTGAGAGGGGAAGAGGTGAGCTGAGAGTTTTTCATGTAGGTGCTGTAAAACATGTTTGCGGCACATGAGTGCACATGGTATTTCACGGCAATTTTTGCATATGTGTGTGTGTGTGTGTGTTTGTCAGTGTTTGTGCTGATTTTGTGAGACGATAGCGTCAACAGTGCGTAGCCAGTAGCAGCAGCATATGGTGAATACGTCTTGGTCAGACAACATAACAAGTATGTCTTAGTGCAAGCAAGTCGCAGGAAGGCTTACGTAGCGGATTTTTGGATGCCAAGCCCATCCATCATCCTTGAACAAATGCCACGTCTAAGAGGTGTTTCGAAGCGCTTTTGCAACTGTTGGGTCTGTTTTGGACATCAAGTTCTTCGGTTGTGCTCGAGCGAAGCGTTTGGAAACACCAATTGCCGATGCCTAATGACGACTTCTAAGGCTACACCAAACAGCTTGGTGGATGAGTGGGACAAGCATATGGAGGCGCTCGGAACAAACTGAAGAAAGATGTACAGCATGGTGTAGCTCTGTTTTTTCATCCTGCTCCAGATCAAAAGTAGCAAAGTCTAGAAAGTAGCAAGTACGGGTTTTTGGCAAGACATTCTGTTGTTCTAGATTCTAGGTACTCTATTGAAGAAGAGCATCTTGCACCCATTGCGATGTCCAGTGTTTTTAGCATCCGCGGTGGTGTATGACTTCTTCAGAAGCAAGACCAGCACAGCATGCCACGCTAATCAGCAATCTGGGCCTGGGCGTAGCACAGGGCTTCACCCCGGAGTTGCTCCTGACCTTTCCGTTGCCTGGGCGTAGTGACGAGTTCTTCTACGAGGACACCGGACCCAAACAGACCAAAGAAGACCTAAACGAGGAAAACAGTCGCAAACATCCAGATTGTCAAGCGCAACTTCTGATGGTGCGATCAAATGGCAGTGGTTATGCCATGCTTCTCTTTCTAAGAGGTGTCTCCGGATGCACAGATGCCAGGCAAGCGTCAACGCTGCATGCGATGTTGAGCTGTTCCAAGTCGCTTTTGTCAACCTTTGCATTCATGGAAACCGGATAAGGAAGACTGTCGGCATTCATTGGAATAGTTTTAGTTCTCATGAGCAGTGAGACCATGTGCCCAGTGGACAAGATTTAGCTAACTACTGTACTAGACTAATTCTACCCTTTTCTTGGACATGAGCCGGCGCGGCACCTGAAGCTGTGTTGCAGTGCCTGAAGCTTTTGCCCTTGGGCAGGACATCCCCGAGAATAGCCCACCTGTGCTCATCCGTGGCGGATTCTTTGCGTCGGCCTCGGAGGCGGATGGCTCCGACGGATCGGGATCGGATCGGGATCGGATCGGGATCGGATCGTGACGTAGCTCCTAGCACTGAGAGCGAGAACCTTGGTGCTTTGTGCGTGCCCGTGTGCGTTCGCCCGCCTTTGATGCAAATGAGAGATGACAAATTCATCAGGCTTCATCGGTGTAGTATCAGGCTTCATCGGTGTTCTGAGGAGGAACATGGAAGCCTTTTCAATATTGTCAAGCTGGAGAAGATGAGTCTTTGGGTCAGTTCAAAAGTTCATGCGGTTGAAAGCATAGCCTCCTGTCCAAGTGGCTCCAACACTTGCTATTCCTAAACTCGACTAAACTGGTGCCCCCCCGTGCCCTCCCACTTGGCCAGGAGACCTCAACTGTAGAGCCTGGAGCTCAGTCCGCTGAGCCCATGGAAAGGACGTGTTTTCCACGATGGAGCGCAAAATCCGACATGCGCAGGCTGCGCAGTGACTTCAGACATACGCTGTGACTTCAGACAGTGTTAATTACTGTAAGGTATATCTTAAAAAAATCAAACGAACCTGCCGGGACAAGTTCGGTCCTACGGACGAGATCTCGTTTGAGAAGCCGCGAACGAAGTCGCCACAGCTCTCAGGTTTAGCATCCATGATCCAAAAGGCAATGTGATCTTCGACTCTCAACTGCAAATGGTTGAAACGGTTGGAATAGCTCAAGTTTAGCCGCAGATTGTTGCTTGCCCAGGCCCAGGCTGCAAGAAAACAAACACCTGTGAGTCGGAAAAACAGCAGAGAGATTCCTTTTTGTCGCATGATTGCTTGCGAATGTGTGTCCTGAGGAAAAGAAGGACCAGGCCGTTGACCTTCGATTTGCATGCCAGATGTGTTGGTGTTCCTTCGGTGTTCCATTTCTCCAGCCCAGTTCGAGTCCAACCGAATCATTTTTCGCTCCTCAGGCGGAAGGTTTGTTCCACTTCATCGCCAAGCGGAGTGGCACCTACACCTTCATCGCCGCCTGGCAAGCCTTTTCTTGAAGCCCAGAGAGGTGGCCAGATCTGGACATGAAGATGGCTGAAGTCTGGAGGTTTCATTTGCAACAGATCTTGATGAAGTGAGCCACATATGAGTTGTGCAACACATATGATAATTGCTTTGGTGTTTTGTTTTGCATGTCTTGTTTGTCATACCAACTGCAAGTGAGATGAGGTGAGCTCAGAGATGACACAACCCGCTCAGGGATTTGTGTCCCAAATGAGCTTTCATTCAGGTTCATTCAATTTCTGCATCCCTTCTCCATTTGCTAACAAGGCAAAAGAAATACGTGCATGGTCCGCATGGTTGATTTCGAATGTGTCAGTAGTCGTGGCTCGCGAGGTTAGCAATCATAGATGGATGGAGGAGATCCGCCGGATGAACCGATGAACCGGGTGGAATGGGTCCGACGTGCTGCATCCCCCCAGTGTGTTCACTGGGGTGATGCACCTACCTCCGAAGGGTTTGGCGCGAAAAACTAGGTGTTTTCCGGCGAAAAGGGGGCTTTAAAGGATTGTCGAGTGATTCAATCTATCTATTTCATCATATTCAGATCTACTGAGAAAAGCGATGAAAAGCTAGCAAAGCTAGCTTCAACTGCCCGGCTCGGCTCGGCTCGGCTCGGAACGCGTTTCTGCCCGGTGGAAACCTACCTGCGCTTTCGCGCCGGCGTTGTGGCGTAGTAGCGTTGATCGATCTGATGTTTCGTTCGCATCGCGGAGGAGAAGATGGTGACCTTTGCTGTCGGAAAGGGCAATGAGACACACTTGCAGCCACAGCATTTGGAGAGCATGGAGGCAGGAGCATGCCAGTCCGCTCGCATGCCTCCGGGAACCTCGGGAAGTGTCCGGTCTCCTGGTGCCAGTCTCGGTCGGTCGATGTCTGAGCCGGAGCTGCGATGTCTCGCCATCGCCCAGTCAGTGTCCGCCACTGGGAGACGATGGGGTTTCTGCCCAAGATGCACACTCGAACCACGCCATTCCACATCGAAGAGATCCGAAGAGATCCGAAGAGTGTGAGTTCTGAGATGTTCTGAGTCTGCAGATTCCTAGGATTGGTCGAGAATCTTCAAAGATGACGCTCCTTTCTTGCCGCATGTTTGATCTTTTTTGTGCAGTGTGACGTTTGAGACTCGATGGAATCATGCAGAACAGCACACAGAACAATACTCCTTCCCAGAAAACTCAGTAAGACCACCCCAGACATCCCCAGACCCACTGGTTTAGTCGTTATGTGTGAATCTTTTCACATAAATGCCCGAACGAGGGGGTCGATGATTTTGAGGGATTTGGGGAGAAGGGTAGCAGATGTCAAAGCATTGCTATTTTTCGTATGGTTTCGGGATCTCCATGTTCAATTCACTTGGGGATGACTGCACGGATGTTATTATGGCCATTCAGAGAGGGGTCATGAGGGGTCCCTATCGTTCTACTGTTTCAGAGAGAGTTGACAGCTTGGCAACCCTGATGTTCAGGACACTGTGAAGTGGATTGAAAAGACGCTGGTTGACATCCAGACAGAGTCAACTTACCTTTGGAACCTTGGCTAAGCGCATGCGTGACAATGATTGCAGCTGCATATTGCATTTGCTTGTGTGGCTTAACCTTCGTTGATATGTGTTTTGATATACTATAGTCTTCAGTCTTCAGCAAGATCTAGCAAGTCGTACACTCGAAAGAAATCACGTGCATTATTGTAGAAGTCTTCCAGCGTATGCAAGACGTACCCATGGAAGTGGAACGTTTGACCCCGTTTTCAAGGCTACAAATTCTCCAAACAGGTGGTGTTTTCCGGTCGTTTCACTTCCATTGGCAGGGTACGGTCACCATGGGTCACTGGGCACTCAACATTTGGAGAATGGCCATCCATCTTGACTGTGCTCGAGCCCTTCGCTGCTCAAAAGACCCCTCACTCGACCCCATCGGATTGCCTGGAGGATCCGGCAGAAGTCCCACATGAAGGCAGGAGAACGAGTGACGTGACGACCTGGTGTTTGGTGAGTGACCCTCATGATACCAGAGGGCAGGCAACCTGCCAGAAACTGAGAGGAAAAACATGGACACCGCAGAGAAAAAACACATTGATATTGGAGATTGGTATGATTGGCTATGATTGGTGCTATTTGGTGCTTTCTTCATAAACTCCACGTCGCTGTGCAGCTTCGGAACTTAAAGAAGCTTTAGTTCAACGGTCCTTGTTCTTTTTCCCTCCTGGCTCATCATCCAAGCAGAATAAATTCCTTTGTCGGAGTCCATGTCCAGCTTCTCGGTACCCAATACGAAGAACCTCCAAACCTGTTGAAAGACACCGAGCCTCATCCGGGTCGTTTTCGTCGTACGAAGAACTGGTGGCCACCACGTAGCCACCACGTAGCGGGCGACGTGCCGGCGCATCGGTGCAACGTGTCGCCACCAGCGCTGCGCTGCGACCTCTGTCGACCTCCCACATCCGTGTACAGACCAATGAAGGGGTCTTGTGCCCTTGACAAATGCAAAGACTGGTGAGGTTAGCAAAACTGCTCAGCTTTGCAAACGGACACCCTTGTTCTGTTTGGTGTTCCATACATGGAGTGTTTGGGAGATGCTTTGTGCTAAACAGCCAAAAAATATTGATGCCACACTGCTTGTGCCTGAATACGCCCCACTGAAGGGTGAGCATTTGTGAGCTCATGGTGAGCTGGCTGTTTTTTGCCCCGAAGTGCACCGAGGATTGCAATTGGTTTCTTGCCATGAGTTTCACAGCCCACAGACAACAGATAATCCTCCTGCAGACAAGAAAAGGTCCCAACAAACCAAATCCGAGCAGAAAGAGACCAGAGCCATGTGTAATGCATTGTACTGGTTTGGAAAAGATCAAATTGAATAACTAATTAATTACTGCGACCTGAACTCTTCTTCCATCAACACGAGAAATCCTTCCCAAACTGAATCCACGCACTTCTTGACAGTCTGACACAATGATGCAACCGCGGAAAATCACTGCTTGCCAAACATTCCATCCGATTCGTTGATCCAAAATCATTCCTTTTTGTTGCCGGGTCTCCGACCTCCCACCCAAGAGGAGGACACCGGGATGTTCAAACAATGTTCATACGGCGCTCGTGTTTTTCGGTCAAGTCAAGAGCTGAAAAAGCTGGCACAGGAGGTTATCGAGTGTGTTAGTGTGTTCCTTTCAGGGCCGCCGCCAACTGAAGGTTCGGCCACGCTGTGCTGTCAGCATTTTGGGAGGGAGTTCTTTCAACGCGCGTTGCTCAATGGGTATGCCTAGGCGGTGGAAAATATTCACACCCGTGTGTGGCTTTGCTTGCAAGATTGTGAGAGGGAGGTGTGTGGCCTGTCCCGGAATGTTCAAGCCGTTCTTTGTGCAGTTGAGGAGTGAGCAGTGGACAAGGAATACTGGGTGAAATGCCTTGGAAGCCCTGCAAATCATTGTTACATGTTTGGTGGTGAGAGTCTCGCCAATGTTTGTGATCAGCGGTCGATTAGGATTTTGCGACCACCCACTTCATCGAAGATATGTTCACCAGGGTTCTCGATTTGCGGTGAATGGACTGGAGACTGCACTGGTGTCGTCTCCAAAGGATTGCACTGGTGAAGGACGAATATTCTGCTCCAGGTGGGTCGAGCGGTTTGTTTGGATTGCATCACTGCTCTTGAAACTAACTCAGGTTGTCCTTCTGCGTAGTGGAGTTCTTGATCTTGATTGGTGTCTCTGGATTTCAAGTGCCCCAGCTGCAACCAACTCGTTCGACCACTTCTGCTTTGAAAGGTGAAGATCCCATTGGTTCGTCAGCGGTTAAGACGGATAAAAAAGAATTGAGCCTCAGTGTGACCTTGGGTTCATGTCTGGAGTCTGGATGTCTAGCAAGGCTATTAACTTGCCGATTCTTGGTGTGTTTTCAGGTCTACTACATCAAAGGCCTGCTGTCTGATCGGCGAGTGCTGCTTGGCTGGTTGGTTAGTTGACTGGTTGGAAATCCTGATATATGCACTCCGTTGCAAAACAACGGGTCAAAATGCATTCAATCGAGGTTGTGAACCCAAATCACGGCTGATACAATCGAAAACATTCAAATATAAAATAGTATAAACATAAAAGACTATAGAATACTATAGAAATGATTCAGAAATTGATAATATTCGGCTTAGTTGTATAGTATATACTGTTCAGACTCAACATGTTGCCGCTGTGTTGCCCAACACAGCCCGCGAAATATCAAAAAGAATCATCATTCCAGATCCCATGGAGGTTCAATGATGCCGGGGCTTTTGGCCTCCCAGCCTCTCTCTCTGTCCGGTCTTTCCTCTGAAACTTTCTTTTGGTGCCGCTCGTTCTGTTGGAGGCTCCCAGGGGGGCGGCCCTGGCGGCCAGAAAACATACCCAGGTGTGGTGCCAAAATGCGCCAAACATTCGACTAAAGAATTAGCTTTTCCATGAGCGCTATCACTGCTGTTGTACATAACTACATTAGTTGTAGTTACTTGTACATTACTAGCATTATCCCCCTATCTTCTCGCCAGGTTTTACGGTCTTGTTTTTGGCGCCGCAGAATCACTCACTTCATACATTTCGCAGCCTTCGGACGTAGCACAGCCCGCGCACAGACGCTACAGGGAACCAAAGTGTTGAGGCCTCACTTTTGAATATATACATAAATATTACGTATTGCAAGGGCTACACCATGGGGGTAGCTGCGCATAGAGAAGCGGCGCGACAACGGATTTTGATATCTCTTTAAACTCCCCCTTCCTAGAATTATTTGAAAAAAATATATATAATTCTATGTAAATATATTGCTTCTATGCAATCTTGGAATATCGTTAAGATACAAAAATATTAAGATTATATATATATTACAATATTTAATTGCAATTTAATCTTAAATAATATTTAAGAATAAAAATTATGAATATATTATTATTATGAAAATTATTTGTAATTTTATATAATATATGTATATATTTTGAATATTAGTTAAATATTAAATATTATTATATATAAGCCTTTTTAAATTTAAAAATAAAATTGGAAAAGAAATATATATATATATATAAAATGAATGTAAATAAGCGCTATTTCCAGTTTAAAGGTTGCGGGCGTTTTATGGGGCGAGGTGCCATGTTCCGTGGGGTTTTGTATTTGTGATGATGCCTTGGTCTTTTATACTTATATATTGTTTTCGCCTTCTCACTGCTGAAGATCGTATTGGAATTCTCGGTCTTAATTCCGGGGGACATGTGTGCAGATGCAAAGCCATTTTATCCTGCCACTATGTCCGGCGCGAGGGTTGTTTAGAGTACCTTAGCTCTGAGCGAAAGTGGAGGATAACCATTGATTCCGATTCCTTCTTCCACAAAGCTTCATGAGGTATGGGCTTTTGGTGGCTACGATTAAGTCTTAGCCCGGCCGCGCATTAAGCGCGCTTACAGAAGAGCATGCTATAGGGCATTGCGCTATGGTATGGCTGAATATCGAGGTAAGTTGATGCTTCCCGCTGATGTACCATGGAGATGTCGGGAATTTTATCGATAGCTGCCGCCAGCCCGCAAGGAGCTGAAGCCAGTTTCCACTGCACCAGGCATACGTTGTATGACGTGGAATGCATCGAAAACATTGGTCTATGCAGAATTATTGATATGGGCTTCAGCTCAACCGCTTGACGTCTTGGCAATCTAGGAGATTGGCTGGGAATTCTCAGCCACATGGGGCACCTCCGAGTGGCACTTCACTCATTCAGCGAGCAAGCAAGCTTCCGTCTTGATGATGGTACGCACTCACATTGCACCAGCTGATCGAATAGCCACAGCTGCATTGCTTGAAGGACGACTCTTGCATGTGCGAGTTTTTCTAAAGCGCACAATTGATTTTCTCATTGTTTATCAACACGCTTGGACTGCATCCCATGGATCTCAACCCCTCCTTCAAAAACGACAAAAGTTATGGCACACTCTCCAGGACTGTTTGAACCATATTCCTAAGGCCCATTATTTGGTTGTTCTTGGAGACTTCAACACGGTTCTTCGTGCTGATCCACCGTTTATAGGAATTGAAGACCCCAGAAGACATCACAATGTGCACTCGGACAGCCATGTCTTGCAGCAGCTCTTGCGAACTCAGGACTTGATAGCCGTTAACTGTAAAGGGGGCTATCAGCACACATTCACACATGGCACACATGCCTCACGTATAGACTACATCCTGATTCGACAATCGCAGGTACAATATCGTCGCATGCAGCCGATCACAAATGCCCAATTCGAAAGGAATTTTGGTATCAATGGACCTCATCATCATCCTTTGCTGGTGACACTTCCCAAGTGGCATGCTCCTCAGCCGCTCCACTTTCCGTTGAATCGGATAGATCGATTTGCTATGAGACATGCATACCAGACACAGTTGGATAGTTGGGTCCGTTTTGAGGCTCGTGCACGCCAGTTGATCCATGACATGACCTCACTGCCTGGACGCTCCGCTCAGGATTGTATGCTTGAACTAGAACATCACCTTCGTACTCTGTGCATCCAATACGTTCCCAAAAGACGTTCCCACAGTTCTGCCCCCTCCCAACTTCTTTCCATCTCCTCCAGGATGTGGAATGCTCGTAGAGAGGCCCTTCGATTCCAAGGCAGATCGTTGCGCGCGTTGTTCAAGTGTTGGGGACATGTCACAACCTTTTTGGTACGTCACAAGCAGATCCGGCAATTTAGTCGTGCTCACAGACGACGGAAACTTGAAAGCATCCTGGCGGAAGGGGCCAACCTGGCCATGCACGGTCAGACCTTTGAATGGTATCGCAAGATTCGACAGCTCTGTCCTAAGCAACGGATGCGTCGTATTCAGCTGTATGATCCGCATGGTATGCCTCTGTCTCCAACCCAGGAGATATAACAGATTGAACAATACTATACTGCCTTGTACTCAGATGCTCACCTGCCCCAATTTAACACTGAATCTCTCCAAACCGCACCGTTCGATTGTCAGGCTATGACTGATGCACTGAGAGCGCTGCCCAATACGAAGGTCCTGGCACCTGACGGCCTGCCAGCATTGGTGTGGAAACATTTTGCCACGGAACTTGCATGGCCTGTTATGAACACCTTTGTTGAATGTTGGATGGGGTCTCCCATACAACCTCCGTCACAGTGGACAACGGGTTGGATCCACCTCCTTCCCAAGCCGAACAAAACTCCATCCAAACCACAAGCACTGAGACGGATATGCCTTCAGCATCCAGTCAACAAGGCGTTTGTTGGCATACAGTGTCAATTGATCCTGACACAGACCTTTCCAACCTTGAGACAACTGCCACTGTATGTTTACCTGCCCTCCCGGGGAACTCGTGATTGCCTTCTCATTGTGGCCTCACATTGCCGACAAGTTCGTGACACTTGTAGTCAATTTCGTTCGAGTCCCAATGCACCGGGTATGCAGGGTGGCTTGCAGATCTCCTTGGATATGGAAAAGGCCTTTGACACAGTAGCCAGATCTAAGGTCCTTCAAGCACTGGATCCATATCATTTCGATGTGGATGTTCTTAGAATGATCCACTCCTGATTGGCACCTCATAAATATTGTATTCCTTTTAAACAACTCATTGGTCATGTCACCGCATGCAGGGGCATCAAACAGGGATCCAAAGATGCCCCATTGCTTTGGACTCTTGTGATGAGTGCCATCCTCCTAGATCTTAAAGCTAGGTTCTCGCTTGCATGGCTCCGCGACCATGTGGTTGTCTACGCAGATGATGTCCATCTCCGTTGGATCATCCAGACACACTCTCATGCCCTGGAGGCATTGACTGAACTTCAACATGTCCTGGATACATTTAGTGCATTTGGCCTCATAATCAACATGCAAAAAAGTTTTGCTCTTCTTCGCCTGGTTGGTCGCGAAGCCCCTGGCTTCTTACGCCGTTGGGTCCATCGAAAGCCGGATGGCCCTGAACTCATCTTGCCGGGGAAACACTGGCGGCTCCCGTTGGTGTCCAAAACAGCCTATCTTGGTGTGTTTTTGAGCTATCGTGCATTTGACTTTGATACCACCATGCGTCGGATAACGGCAGCCAAATGGTGCTTCACTCAACTTAGGTCTTGGCTTACCAGCACGGTTCACCCCCTCTCGACACGCCTGAAATTCTATAGACAATGTGTCATGGCCACGGTTAGTTATGGCATTCATGAAATGGGAATCACCCGTCGAGGTCTTGCCAAACTTGTCAGCATGATCAATACACACCATCGGATCATGACTAAGTCCCCTGTTTGCCTGACGCATGAATCGACGCAGAGTTTCTTCGATAGGCTTGCTCTCCAGCCACCTTGGACACAACTGCAACAGCAGCAGCAGCGTATTCAACAGGCACTGCAGAACAGAGCCACACGATTTCGACTGGAAGCCATGACAGATGTCTCACCTGATGCTTGTGCCCGCATCCCAGACTTGTGGCCGAGTGACCTTCACATGCCTGATGAAACCCCGGACCCACAGCTTGCTCAGGAACTCAAGTGCCCTGAATGCCTACGAGCATTTCACCAGGTGGGAGCACTTAAACGGCACATGAGACGAGCTCACGACATCCCATGTGAACCAGATGATCTGTATCAACCGTTGAGGGACGCTTGGAACGGTCGTCCGATTTGTTCCCACTGTTCGCACTCATTTGTAGATTTTTATAGATTGAGGGATCACATCAACAGACGTATCTGCCGCTCATTCAACCCGGCCCAGGAGTCGATCATCCCGATTGTGGCGCGACCTGACCTGAAGATGCATTTACGACACAAGTCGATTCCGGGATTGCTGTTGAACCAAGCCCTCATCACGGAATTGTCCTGCCACTGTGCCTTTTGTCACTGTCAGATTGCCGCCAGATCCATCCGTAAGCACTACACCGATCAGCACCCGATGATGGTAGCTCATGCTGATCAATACCAGTCACATGTCCTAGGATTAGCCAATATTGGCAGTGGCCGTGGTCGTTATAGCTTTTGCGACAAAGAATGCCGCAATGTCCGCAGTCATGAGTGTGGGGTTTTGTTCCAATTGTCAGCCATGCTGGGATATACC